TGAAATGTTGATACTAGTCAATTGCCCACAATCACTTTGTTTTCTTCCAGCCTGTTAAAAGGATGTAAAATCTCCTGATTATTGATAGTCAATTTAAGGGACCTGGTCAATACTCTTCCACTTATTTATTTTAACTGTTCTTAACTTACCATATTCTTCTTACAGGACTCGAATAATGATAAACATGGGGAAAATTATTTCTTTGGGTCGAATGATTTTGGTGGAAGTCCGGTGAGAACAGGATCCCCAGCAGCAGAGAGTAGATTTCAGAAGAATAGCCCATTCTTTGAGGATTCTGTTCCTGGGTCTCCCCTCTCAAGAGCTGGGAATTCACCACGAAGATACAGTGTTGGATCAGGTGATCCATTTGAAAGTTTCTCGAGGTACGATTCCTTCAGTACTCATGACCGCACCTCTTCCCCCCAACGAGAAACTCTCACGAGGTTCGACTCCATGAGCAGCACGAGTGGCTTTGATCACAGCCGGGGGTTCTCTTTTGATGATTCTGACCCATTTGGGTCTAGCGGTCCATTTAAGGTATCTTCAGAGAGTCAAACCCCTAAAAAGAGTACAGATAGTTGGAATGCTTTCTAGATTGTAATTTTGGCCACACGGCCAAGTTTTACCAGAGCATTGCACCATATGTTGTTGGCGATAACGAATCATATGACAGACAGATTCTTAAAGTTTTGTATACGACATAGTCCGGGTGTTAAGGTCTGATGTCTCTGCTGCAGTGCAGCAGCATCCATTTGTTGAAGCAAGTGTTCGAGATTGAGAGTACGAGAGCGATATAGAAGTGGAGGGTGTTTAAATTTGGTGGCATGCACATATTTTTGTTTTGACTCTTCAGGATCATCTTGGTTTTTAATTTGCTTTTTCCTCCATTGTTATTTGTTGTGGAATACGCAAGGTAGTGTGCTCGGCCTTTGGTTTTAATTTTTCTTGGTTATTTCAACAAACTTTTATGTTGTGTCTGTCTTATTGAATTTTATGTTCAAATGAAATAAACCTTAAATTGAATGAGGCAAAAAATTAAATATTTCATATTCGAATCTTGCAAATAGTATTTGCGATAATTGTTTGGGAAAAATTTTCCGAGTTTGAAAAGGAATTATGATATAAAAAATAGTTGTACCAAAATATTTCTGGCTGCCAACTCTTACCTCCCTACAAGTAAACACGTTATTCTTGTTGCAGTCCAAGTGATTAAAATGATTGCTTATATGTATGACACGTTTGATTTGCGGAATAGACCTGGAATAACATAGCATTCTCGGTAATAGGTATATTCTTTTGTTTGGTAAAAGTTTCTATTCTTAGGAATATTCCCATTCTATTCCTTCATCGAATCAAACAATAGAATAAAATTCCTATTCTGTTCTTTATCTATTTCACTTCTTATGAAACAGTATTTTTATTTTTTCAAAATTCATTTTGTGAACCAAACGTAGAGACGTTATGCCATGGAACCGTGTTCACCATTCATGGTGAACACGGTTCCAACAGTGTTAGTACACCGTTATCTTTTTTTTTTTTTTTTTTTTTTTTTTTTTTTTTTTTTTAAATTAATTGCGTGACTTTTCTTCTTTATTTTCACATTTTGCGGTTTCACTTTAATTTGAGGTGAACAAAGATTTCGGACATTCATAAATTATGAATTCATGCCTGCACATTCACTTTGGAACCATGTCTACACATTCCTGTCCGAAATCACGGACATTCATAAATTATGAATCCATGCCTGCACATTCACTTTGGAACCATGCCTACATTTTCACTTTGGAACCATGAGATTATGAATTTTCTGTTATAAGATTATGAATTTTCTGTTATGAGATTATGAATTTTCAGTTATGAGATTATGAATTTTCTGTTATGCGATTATGAATTTTCTGTTATGAGATTATGAATTTTCATTACATTCATAATTTCGGACATTCATAAATTATGAATTCATGCCTGCACATTCACTTTGGAACCATGCCTACATATTCCCGTCCGAAATCACGGACATTCATAAATTATGAATCCATGCCTGCACATTCACTTTGGAACGATGCCTACACATTCACTTTGGAACCATGAGATTATGAATTTTCTGTTATGAGATTATGAATTTTCAGTTGTGAGATTATGTATTTTCTGTTATGCGATTATGAATTTTATAATTCATAATCTCATAACAGAAAATTCATAATTTGATCAAACGCGCGCCGATAACTCCACATCCGCGATTTTTTTTTTTTGCCTAAAAACGACGTCGTTTTGCCTTGTGTTCACCATTCTCGGTGAACACGATTCCATGGGATAATTTGCGCCAAACGTAGCGTAATAATTTATATAAAGAAAGAGTTCCAACAAATCTCTAAAAACTAGGTGGGCCATAAGACTAAGTCAAGGCCCATGAAGTGGGCCATGAACCAAGTCAAGGCCCACCACTCCGGTCCATAGTTGTTATATTGTGCACCGCGGTGCATAATCGATTATGCACCGCGCATCAAAACGGCGCCGTTTCTACAGTTATAACGGAGTGACACTATAGTGTGTCTAAACCGACACTGTCTCACGTATTATTTTTATATTATCAAATGAAACTGCAGTTATATCAAAATGATACTGTAGTTGTGGTGAAATGAAACTACAGTACATATAAAATGAAACCGAATAACATTTCACATATTTGAGTGTATATTGTACAATGAAGTTATAATTATATTGAAATGATCATGTAGTTGTGTTTTAATGAAACTATAGTCTATATAAAATAAAATTAAATAATATTTTCACATATTTGAGTGTATAAATATTGAATGAAAATGTAGTTATATTGAAATGAAACTGTAGTTGTGTTGAACTGAAACTACAGTGTATACAAAATGAAACTGAAGAACAAAGTTATTTTTTGCGAAGATTCTGTTTCTTTTTCATTAAATAAAATGACATCGTTTTGATGCGCGGTGCATAATCGATTATGCACCGCGCGGTGCACGATATAATTTGCCTCCGGGGACCACTAATGAGCTTCGGGATGGGTACTACTAGCTGCCTTGGGGCCTTCGCCTTTTGCACAGGTCCTTCACGTCTTACTCGAACGCAAATTATGCAGTGGTGCATTGTGGACACGAGTCCAAACCGACGTCATTTTCAAGGAAAACGCGTCATTTTAGTTTTTTTAAAAAAATTAATTTTGTCTCGTCGTTAACGCCGTTATTCGTTTGTGCCATTATGAATGTACAGTTATGGAATTATGAATGTAAGTTATAAAATTATGAACACAGAGCTCTTACATTATGAACTTACAATTATGAACATATAGTGATAAAATTATGAACATAGAGCTCTAAAATTGTGAACATCGAGCTTTGAAAATTATGATTTTACAGTTATTGAATTATGAATGTACAGTTACGGAATTATGAATGTACAGTTATGCAATTATGAATGTACATTTATGCAATTATGAATGTACAGTTATGTAATTATGAACACAGAGCTCTGACATTATGACCTTACAATATGAACATATAGTGATAAAATTATGAACATAGAGCTCTAAAATTGTGAACATAGAGCTTCGAAAATTATGAAGTTACAGTTATTGAATTATGAATGTACAGTTACGGAATTATGAATGTACAATTATGGAAGTATGAATGTACAGTTATGGAATTATGAACATAGAGCTCTGACATTATGAACTTATAATTATAAACATATAGTAATAAAATTATGAACATATACTCCTATAACAAAGCGGTCTGAAATTTAAAAAAAAAAAAAAAGAGAAGAAGATAACAGTGCCTAACGGCATTGTTACCCGTGTCCAGCATGCACGCTGGACACGGGTCCATAGCATAACGATTGTTACTCGAAATACCCCTTTCTCTTGGCTCCCAAATCGCAAATTCTTTTTGGATCCCGGTCCCTGACCATGAGCTCTTCTTCGGTCCGGGGTCATAGACTATTGGACTTCGGATCTATATTTTTGGATAATTTTTAATAGTTTTATCTCTATTAGTGATAAAGATAACTTATCATTGGATGTAACATTTGAATGCAAAGGAATGTAGTATAAACTTTTGGGTTCTACCAGTCGTAAAGCTCGTGTATGGAATCAACAGTTAAGAAATATGAGCAAAGATCCAGAAAAGTGTAGGACGAGATATCTATATGATTATAAGTTTGTATCTTTAGGTATTTTGACCGAGTTATTTGATAAGCAGATGGTGCCAAATTAAAGGGCGTAAGACTTCAAAACTCAAAAAGAAATAATGACTGTTCCTTCCCAAACTTTCAGATAGTTAAAAATAATAGAAATTTCCTATTTGGTAAATAGTCGTTGAGAATTTTTGGATCAGATCTTCCAGAATGGGTAAGATTTAAGATTTCTCCCACTCCTAATTGTCTCTTCCTTTTTGCCTATGATGACCAGATATTACTATGTTGGGGTATGGACTAGTCACTGCATTACACTAAATTTTCTTTACCACTTTGATGTTCAAAGTTTGTTCATAATGGTTCAATATAAATTGTTCTAGTACTCAAAAAATAATAATTTATTATGTTATTTCAGATACCATCTTAAATTATTCGTGGTATTAGTAACTTCAACACTTTACACAATAAATTTAATCACTTTAGGCATAATTCCCACATTATCACTATCAAATTTTGAACTTTGGTTTCTTCTCTCAAGTACTGTCTATTGAACCAATGAGCTAAGTCCGTACGGACAACTAATTAACTTTTTGTTTTTAATTTGGTGATCCAATTGCAATTTTTTTTCCAAAGAGCAAGATTTCACCTTTAATTTGCCTTGCACAACCAAGTTAACCATATAGATTTGTTTGGGAGACGGGTAAGAATTTGGTGAAATTGTGCAATTAGAGAGGTCAAACGTACCACTCCAACACTCTCTCAAACAAAACTTAAGAAAAAAAAAATCAAATTACTTTAAAACCTTAACCTCTAAGCCTTCTAGAAATTTAATTCTTTTGACCAAACTCCACCTTCATGTCAACCATTGACCTCTCATTTGATCCCAACCTGGCAACCTTTGCATAAAAATTAAAGTTTGCATATACTTATATTATATTTTGATTTAATATCATCTAAGGTCCAGTATAGTGATTTTGAGTTTGCACTATCCATGATCTAAGTTAACCTTAAATAGTCCTTCAACTATCAAATCTTAATCACTCATGGTCCTTCCGGGAGGATCACAATTGGTCAGATTTTGAAAGCAGGAAGACCATGAGTGGTAAACTTGGACCACTGATGGTAACCATTTGAAAATCGAAGAACTACAGGGTCAATTTGAAAGTTTAAAACTAAATGTGACAAATCAGAAAATCCCATATAACATTTCTTAGACACATACTCCTTTTAATAAAATGAAGAATCACAACTTCATATAATAACCAACGATTATGGTTGTAGTTCTAGTTCCACTTCATTTTTTATTTTTATTTTTTATGGCCCATACACAATATTTTTTTTTTTCCTTTTGAAGTCAACAATTTCAAACTAAATTCTTGTCATATCTTATAGAGTCATTGTTACATTCTACTATTATTCAAATGTTTGAATCCACATATGGTCTTGACCCTCATGCATCCGGGAAATTATACAATGGACCATGGTCAAATTAAATTTGTAATATGGACCATTGATAAATTTTCATTTTTTGGTAATATATTAAAAAATAACATTTAATACACAAAAATGAACATTCAATATAATAAAAATGAAATTTTAGTATAATAAATATGAACTTTCACACGGCATATTAAAAGAACTTTATACAATTGATCAACTTTGACTATGGTCCCATGTATAATGATTGGATGCATTCATATCTTCAGGCTAACATTATCCCTGCAAGTCTCTTTCACTCTAAAAAATGGACCCCACTTTCACATCACCCAATTTACAAATCATTTACTATTTACACTATATCCTTGCAAATCTAATCAACTTTTAAAAGTGGACCCAATATATTAAAATAACATTATAATTTATATTTTTTTAATGCAATTTATATTAATTACATTAAAATATTAAAAAGTAAATGAAATAATAAAAAAAGATTAAAAGAAATGCGGCAACTTTTGTTATGGATTTGCAAATTTGCAACAAATGTAAATATACAAACCCTTTACCCTCTATATATATATATATATATATATATATATATATATATATATATATATATATATATATATATATATATATATAGAGAGAGAGAGAGACGAGTTCAAGTGCGGCGGTGTCTTACGGTGCGGCATCACCAATAGTTCAACAAATATGCACCATCAACATTAGGAAAATACACCACAAAAGACAGAGTAAACAGAGCCCCGCATCACCAAACACACACCATTAGGTGTGAGTAAAAACACCATACACTATTCGGAAATACACCATTGGGGGTGGTGAGTTATATGGTGTATTTTTTTGAGTCTGTTGTATATTTTGTGATGTTTTATTGCATTTCACTGTGGTGTGTTTTTCTTACACTGTTGGTGTATTCTGAAATTCCGCTGCACGGAAAGACCCCGCCGTATTTGAACTTTATTCTCTCTCTCTCTCTCTCTATATATATATATATATATATATATATATATATATATATATATATATATATATATATATATATATATATATATATATAAATGATGTGGCAAATACCACATCATTTTATAAATGGACATATTTGACTGGGATAATTCCAACCTTAAGGCAAGCCACCAACCACCAACTTAAAACAATTTAAAAGAAAATTAAATTAAAGAAAAAAGAAAGAAAGAAAAGAAAATGGTGGTAAAACTCTTGCTGGATCCTAATATCCACATATGTAGAAGAGACAAACAACAGTGAGGGAAACTTTTTGAAGCAAATTTGGAACGAACAGTTCAAAAATAAAAGACAACCAGAAGGGTTGTTAAGACTTTAGAGAGTGATTATATTCTTTCTTAGTTTTAACTTTTTCATGCACTCTCTTTCCATTGATACTTTAATTTTATTTCTTTTTTTGAAAACATCTACCTAGGGGTTAGCAAACAGACCTTTCGGTAAACTACTCATATTCGTGTTCAGTAAGCGTTCGTTTATATTAGTTTATTAAGGTAAACGAACATTAACAAACAAAATTTAAAACTCGATTTATAAACGAGCAGAGTCTGAACAATTGTAAGCTTGTTTGCTAAAAGATCGTGAACAAGCTCGTTTGTGTTCGTTTAATAATGTTCGCAAATAAACTCGTTTGTGTTCGTTTAATATTTGTTTGTACTCTTTGTAGTTGTGTTACTTATTTGGTTATTTTTCGTGAACATAGATGATTTCTTGTTCAGGAACGAATTGTGATCATGAACATGTTCATATGTTTGGTTGTTAAGCATTCACGAACGTGTTAATCGATGTGAACGAACATGTTCGCAAATATTAATGAACATGTTCGTGAACGTGCTTGTTAACAAACATGTTCGTGAACGTGTTCGTTAATGTTAACGAGCATGTTCGTGAACGTGTTCGTTTATGTTAAACACTAATGAACGCTTAACAAACGAACACGAACACTCAAAAATCATTAACAAACGAACACGAACAACCTCCGTTCGTTTATGTTCGATTCGTTAACCGCCCTACATCTACCCATCATCACTTTTGTTTGTCTAAAGTTGAATCAATCTCATAAATATTTAGTAAATTAACTGTTAGCTGATAATTAATAGCTGATTACATGCAAAATGACTTTCTCAAAAAACTGTTCGAAAAAATTACTTTGAGTAATTTTTGAATTTTAGTATTTTGGAGTAATAAAATATTAAAAAGTTATATTAGTATTTTTGAATGCTACTGGCTCTATTACAATGTAGTATCTATTCATATACTTTTTCAACCTACTGAGGCTGAACTCACAATCTTTCAAATGGAAGTCCAACCCAAGTACCATTAGACCATATAATTTTTAAAAAATATTAAAAAAAGCTAATTAATCAAACACAACTATTTAACTAAATTAAACAGTTACTAGTGACCAAACAAACTAAAATTGACATAATAGGTGTGGACCATAATAATTGTGATTGCGGTAGTAAATTGTTGGTTATAGTTCATAAAAATGGAGGGAAAAAAAGAGAGTAAAAAGTAAAAAAGAAAAGCTCGACAGTTGCTTCGAGTTTACAGTAACAACGTCAAACGACACAGCTAGGATCAATTCTCTCTCTAATTCTCTCTCTCAATGTGTCTTCAACAGTACAGCGAAGACTATACATGCGTTTTCAGTCAACTAACAATAATTTTCACAAATTAATTTCTTATAATTAAGCGTAAATAGGAGTATTAAAGTATACATTTGTTGTTTTCCACTTGTTTTTAGTCATTGATCGGAGTTGCCAGCTCGTTTCCTCCTTCCTTCTTCCTTCTTCCCATATTGCCCCTTTGCCCTCCATATGGACCGACCCAAACCCTAAATCAAACGCTTCATGGAAGAAGATTCAACCCTCCTCCTGCAATTCCTCTCTACCATTTCTTTCTTCAAGCACTCCATCGCTGCAAGCTTGAAGTTTTGATTTTTTTTCTTCCCCCAGTTAGCTTCGTCAAGAATTCACCCCACAAGGTAAATCTTCTTCTTCTTCTTCTTAATCATCATCCATCACGCTTTTGTTGTTCTCGGGTTTTACTGTGCTTTGGAATCAGTTAATTCTGTTTACCGTGTTTGGAGCTGAAATGTTTTAGTACTATTAGTTGAGGTGGATTTTGAGCTTGATTATTGAATTGAATACAGAAATTGGAAGAAATTTATAGTTGGACTTGTAGTAGTATGGAAGTTTTACCCGTCGATTTATCTTGGAGACGAGGTTTTGGGATTGTTTAGATCAGTCTTTATCTTAGGAGTTGGAGAATTAACAATTCGGGTTTTGGTTTAGTTGCCTAATTGATTGAATCTTTCAAAAGAGTTTGTGGGTAGTTATGAGAGCAATATAAGAATGAAAATTACCATGGCCACACTGTGTTTTAGAATCAAAATGTTACTTTCTACTAGCTTTAAGTGAGGAAGATTAGAGATAATGGAAAAAGGTATAGAGAATAGAATACCGATCACTCGGTTAAAGCCCAGAGTAGTAATGTAACTTTGAAATGCTGAGAGCTAAAGTTTATTGGCATTTGATGATGCCTGTCTTTGATCTTCACATGCTACATACTTGTGGATACACCTTTTATCTTAGTCTTCTTTTAACATCTTTGCATACTCAGAATTAATGAGGTGAATGTGAATTTTCAAAATTAGGAAATTTTGGTTCACCCCGAGAAACCATATTCACTTTATTGTGATTATTTTCATATTTTAGCAGCCATAGTGACGATCTTCTCAAAAGTTTTATGATGGGGTTCCGTTTAATTATGGAAAGCTATTAACAGTTTTGCTGCTTTTGTATGTGGCTGAAGGAAAAGCATTTCTTCCTTTTGACGGGCACACTATTTAGATGGCTGAAAGCTGGGATGGCAATCTTGAAATTGGTAGCCCATCAGACGAGAGCTACCATTTTGAGAGACTATATTTGGAACCTACATATGATGCGTTTATATGTCCTCTTACAAAGCAAGTAATGCGTGATCCTGTAACTATTGAAAGTGGGCAAACTTTTGAAAGGGAAGCAATTGAGAAATGGTTTAATGAATGCAAGGCAAGCAGAAGAAATCCCGTCTGCCCCTTAACACAAAGAGAATTGAGAAGCACAGAGTTGAATCCAAGTATAGCCTTGCGGAACACCATTGAAGAATGGAATGCACGTAACGAAGCTGCTCAGCTCGATATGGCTCGCAGAACGCTCTCTCTGGGAAGTGCAGAGACTGATATTCTGCGAGTGTTGCATACTCTTGAGCATCTCTGCCAGAAAAGTAGGTCTAATACCCGTGTAATCCGAAATGCAGAGCTGATACCAATGATTATCGACATGTTAAAGAGCACCAGTCGCAGGGTTCGGCGCAAAGCTCTTGAAACTCTTCGAGCTGTTGTGGAGGATGACACTGAAAATAAGGTTGTACAATGTCTGTTAGTTCGTTAAAAATATTTCTCAATAAATTCGGTTCAAGGTTGTTTGTACCCATAACTTACAGTTACCTTCTAAACTTTCAGGATATAATGGCTGAGGGTGATACTGTTCGGACAATAGTAAAATTCTTATCCCATGAGCAATCCAAAGAGAGAGAAGAAGCGGTGTCTTTGTTATTTGAGCTATCCAAATCTCAGTCATTGTGTGAAAAGATTGGTTCAATTAATGGAGCAATTCTCATCCTAGTTGGAATGGCAAGTAGCAATTCAGAAAATCTTGTTACTGTTGAGAATGCAGAAAAGACCCTGGAAAATCTGGAAAAATGTGAATGCAATGTAAGACAAATGGCAGAAAATGGTAGATTACGATCTCTTATGACTCTACTACTTGAAGGTGCTTCAACTAACCTTCATACTATGTGTCAAGTATCTTTCAGTAAAATTTTGTTCTGTTCAGTTTTTTAGCTTCTTATTTAACTCACTATCCCTGTATATCCCATTACATTTCAGGATCAAATGAGACCAAGATTTCAATGGCTGCATTTCTAGGTGAGCTGGTCCTTAACAATGACTTGAAAGTCTTAGTAGCTAGGACTGTTGGTTCTTCACTGATTAATATCATGAAACATGGTAACAATCAAGCTAGAGAGGCCGCTTTAAAAGCTTTAAATCAAATATCATCGTATGAGGTCAGTGCCAAGGTCTTGATAAGAGAAGGTATACTTTCCCCACTCGTCAAAGATCTCTTCACCATTGGTGCCAATGCACTGCCCATGCGACTAAAAGAAGTCTCTGCAACAATTTTAGCAAATATTGTAACCTCGGGCAATGATTTTGATTCTGTCCCGTTTGGTCCTGATCATCAGACTATGGTCTCTGAGGACATTATTCATAACTTTCTCCATCTTATCAGCAACACTGGACCCGCAATAGAATGTAAGCTTCTTCAGGTCCTTGTTGGACTGACCAGTTCCCCCAACTCAGTAATCAGCGTCGTATCTGCTATTAAAAGCTCAGGTGCTATAATCAGTTTGGTTCAGTTTATTGAGGCCCCGCAGAAGGATCTAAGAGTGGCTTCCATAAAACTTCTCCAGAATCTCTCTCCCCATATGGGTCTGGAACTAGCAAGTTGCTTAAGGGGTACATCTGGTCAGCTCGGTAGCCTAATCAAGGTCATATCAGAGAATGTTGGTGGTATAACCGAGGAACAAGCAGCAGCTATAGGGCTTTTAGCTGATCTACCAGAACGAGACGTGGGCCTTACAAGGCAGATGCTTGATGAAAAGCTCTTCCAACTTGTCATCTCCAAGGTAGAAGGCATCCAACAGGGAGGAATAAGAGGTAGCCGGTTTGTAACTCCATATCTAGAAGGGCTTGTGAAAGTTCTTGCAAGGATCACTTTTGTGCTGTCTAATGAGCCGGATGCTCTTGCACTTTGTCGCGAATATAATGTTGCTTCGCTTTTCATTGAACTTTTGAAAATGAATGGGCTTGACAATGTGCAGATGGTATCTGCTATGGCTTTGGAGAATCTATCCCAAGAATCCAAGAATTTGACCAGATTGCCTGAGTTGCCTAAGCCTGGATTTTGTGTATCCATCTTCCCTTGTTTAAGCCAGCCGCCTTCTATAACTGGATTGTGTAAAGTTCATCGTGGAACATGTTCGCTAAAAGAAACCTTTTGTCTTTTGGAAGGACAGGCGGTGGAAGAGTTGGTGGCCCTCCTAGACCATACCAAAGAGAAGGTGGTTGAGGCATCACTCGCGGCTCTGTCATCTTTATTGGACGATGGGGTAGATATTGAACAAGGAGTGCAGGTATTATGTGAAGCAGAAGGAATCAAGCCCATACTTCAGATATTACTTGAGAAACGTACCGAGAATCTGAGGAGAAGGGCAGTTTGGGCAGCCGAGAGGCTTCTACGCACTGATGATATAGCTTATGAGGTTTCGGGTGATCCAAACGTGAGCACAGCACTAGTGGATGCTTTCCAGCATGCTGATTATCGTACACGACAGATTGCTGAACGGGCATTGAAGCATGTTGATAAAATCCCGAATTTCTCTGGTGTCTTCCCGAACATGGGATAGGGATCAGCAAATGGTTTGAGGTTCTTGTATTTATTTCCACTCTAGAGGTTCTTAAGATAAAATCTAAATTGTTTATTGTTCTGTGAAAAGTCAGATGTGCAGGTACATACATTGCTTCCCAATTTTCTTCTTTGTAGATGGTTTTAAATTTTCATTTTTCTTCTCTCCCTTGGTCCATTTTTTCTGGTCATAATCTCTCTTTGGTCTTCATTTACTCAGCTATATAGGTTGGAATGTGATATTATTTTTGCTATTACTGCAAATTCTGTACTTTTCTTGTGTAGCACACCTCAAACAATCAAAGGTTACTTTTGTATCTTTTTGCAATGTATGGAGTATGGATTAAGCATTGAAAAGAACCATTCTATTCTACTTAAACTGTGCATTATTTTAGTTTAGACACCTGCAGATTGCAGACTAATTTGATTCAGTTGTAGAGCATATTTTTCATTTTTTCATACATTAAGTTTCTCAGCTTACGCTAGACTAATTCTAAGCCTTTAGAATTCTTGCCCAAGAGTCGTTGGAGAAAGTAAATCGCGAGTTGCCCAAGAGCCTCTCAGTCCCTGTTCCGATGGAATGGTAACTTTAAGTCAGGTGGTAACTTTAGGTCAGGTGGTCTACCACAACGTGGTTTGCTACTAGAAACGCTTTGCAGGGTGCCAAATTTTATGCAAAAACCCATTTCATTTTGATACTTTAATTTGTTCTATTTTATGTGTTCGATTAATGAAAATTGACTCAAATTATTTACAATTCAATTTTTTGTAATATTTAGTTTAGTGTGAATACATACCATTTATATATTCATTTTTTCACTACCCAATCCCCATGGCATGTTGGTAACAGATATAGAGAGGGATGACATAATTAGTATTAGTGGCAGAAGAACCATTCCTTTTCTAAATGGACTTCTCAGATCAAACATTGAAAAATCTATTATTGGATGATTTTTCCACCAAACACCTCAGTTTACAATATGTTAAACCAACAACTCCATAAATTATTCTTTCTATCACAAACCAATACAAGAGGGCAATACAGACATTTAAAGAATATATATATATAAATATGAAAAGAGAGAATATAAATATGAGCCAGTTAACAATTTATCATCATCAAATGTGTACTTCTCAATGCAGACTGAATATAGCAAAATAGTAACATGAAGAGCAGATACCATGAGCCCCGGTGGGGTGGGTGGGTTAGGTTTCAAATATCGTGAAATGATCCGAAGGTTCCTAATTCACAAGTGTAGAACTGCCACCGATTTTGTCATGCACGAGGTTGCATCAAGCTGACGAGCCACGTGATTCCTCGAGATATGCCTCCAGTTTGTTTCGCCATCAGATACGTTACAAACTGTCAGGAAGTCGAGAACCTGTCCGAATATTTTGAACATTTCCACTCCAAATATCATGGTTTTATCCGAGACAAATGCAGCATACCAATCCATGGGGGCGTCGGGATGAGTGGAGACTTCGATCCAAGTGTGATACCTAAGATCAAGCTCCCATAACTTCCTTACCGCTTTGTTTCTCCTGCCTATTTGATCATCCCCCTCGCACCAGGAGACCGAAAGCATTAACAGCCGGTCGTTGCAGGAAATAAGTCGGGGGTTGTATTCATGAACCCGGGGAGGAAGGGTCGTGTGGATTCCGATCCAGTAACCCCCTTCTATGTCAAACGCAGCGAGCTTATCTGTTTCCGAGTAAACATAAAACATCCTGTTACAAACGACACCTGAACAAGCAATACCGAACTCAACAGGCAGCCTCGGGATTTCTGTCCATTTATTTGATACAGAATCGTAAATTTCCCCTGAATCTAAAGGCTCGTCCCAACATCCGAGACCGCCTATGGCAATCAGTACAAACCGTCTGTTATCTTTATTGGAGTGCCCGCTTTTTTGTCTGATAAACTTGTATGACTTCATACTGGGCAAGAAAGAGAACTCGTTTTCGTCAAGGGAGTGTCTGAATGCAAGTCTGACCGAAAGCCTGTGAGGATCTTCATAAACATCGGATGAACTACCAATTCTTGACCTGTGGAATCGTCTTTCCGAACGAATTTGTTGGTTCTTGATAATTAGATAATCAGAGCTGACCTCGTAAATTCCAAGTATAGGTGACGATCTTGCGTATTTCATCGATGCTGCTTTATGCCATGATTTTGTTAGAGGGCTAAACACCAGCACGCTTTTGTGTGTTTTATAGGAGCTCTTGTCAACCTTGCCAAAGTTAGAAAGGCTAGTGCAACCTCCGACGATATATACGTCATCTCGGACACCGGCAACGGAGAACAGAAACCTCCCTCTGAGAATCTCTGCATCTAATTTGTGCCACTGATTTAACGAGACATCCAATGCGTGTATTTCGTCTGAACAATAACCATTTTTGACAACACCAAATAGAAACAACCAAGGGCTCTGAAACGAGCCTTCTCGTCTCATCTGCCAAAACCGAGGCGTTGCCGTCAAGTCTCTCCATTTTTTGCACACAAGCCGGGAATTCATCAGACTAACGAGCGGTAACCTCATCAAGCACATTTCAAGAATGTCATCCGGTATAAACACATTCACGTTCTTGTTTCGTATTACTTCTTCGAGTTGTAAAGCCTTTCGGTTACTCCTCCTCCAGAATTTCTCCCTCATCGCGTGGGAGATGCAATTCATGACAGATTCCTCGTATGCCACATACCCTTTGCTTTCGTCACTTGCACTCGACCATCTTCTAGCTTGTGGGTCCTCAAGATCTCTGTCCATGTCAGCACTCACTTTACAACCCCCGCCCCTACCGTAAAGACTAAGACAACTCAGGGAAACACCCCTAGCATTGTCCCGTTCCTCCTCTTCACCCTTGTGGCTCTTCCGTTTTAACTTCTGGCTTACACTTCTGACTAGACGTTTTGACACACTCAATGGTTCAAAATTCCGCAGAAGAGATTCTCCCCTTTCGGGCTTCTCAGACATGATGCTCCCAAACCCAAACTCTCATCAAACAGTACAAGTAATGCATCAATGTTCCTGCAATTTAACAATAGTCATTATTAACTATACTAGTTTAGGATTTACACAAAAAAATTTGCTACATTTTACCCCAGCTTCTCACATATATTTCACCTTTTTACCCAGAAAACTGCACTAGTTATTCAAAATTCTCCAAAATCCATCTGAGAAAGAAACCAAAATCTAATGTTCATAAAATTTCAAATACATGTAATTAAAAATCTTAAATATATCATGTTACAACTGTTCTAAATACATGCATTGTTAACCAATACATAATGGTGACTCTTCAACATTCATTTTCTATGAAACCTCTTAGCTGCAATTTCAAATAAAAATACCAGAAGCTAAAAGAAAGAGGGAGAAAAAAAAAAATCATAATACTGGGGTTAGAAGTTAGAACAAGAAATAATCCATTACTTATATATGCTATATAAGTGTATGTATACCAAGATTCAATTACCCAAGAAACATGGGTGATTTCTCTTAGGTTTTCCTTTTGTTTTGGGGAGTGGTGGGTAGGATTTAAACAAAGAAATAAAGAAGAGAAATCATGCCGTTGAAATCAAATCCCCACAGCTCCAAGCACGATTTGATCCCAGATCACGATTCATTGCTGGGAATATAGAACATTAATTGAAGATCTCATCACCATGAATATCTGCAATTTAAGCTTCAAGAAAGACTGTAGCAAGTGTTAGACAACGAAGGAATAATCATCGGAGAGATCCCAGTTGAACAGAAAACAATGTGACACCACTTACAGCTAAAACATCATGATCAGAACATTGAACAAAAAGAGAAGGAAATTATATAATTTCTTGAAGGGGGTTTCTTACTTTCTTCTCGTTTTTATTATGTTGGTTGGAATTTGGAAATCTTGGTGGATAAATGAATTTAGTAAAGCAACCCAACCCGACCGCCGAATAAATATTTGGAATTCTTTTATATTTAGAAGGATAATAATAAACAATAAAGAAAAGCGACGCCTCATGCCCTCATACTAGTATATTACTCCTTTCCCCAGCTCAATGTCATAGTAGTGAAGTTTAGAAAGAATGATTATGGACCGAGTTTCACCAGCAACAATGTGAGGGTAATTTTTCAAAATTAGTAGCTAGTGAAGAGAATTTTTTGTTTGCAAATGAGTTACCATAATTTACATCTTCTCAAATACTCTGTCGGGTCCTTGGGAACATGGGCGTATCCATAAACCTTTTTCGTTGGGGCGAAACATAACAAAAGAGATAGTTTGAAGAAAAAAAAAACACTTAAAAGTATAACTATAAATATTGTTGGATATGTGCGAAAAATAAGACACATCAAAACTTTATAAAATATTCACAACAAAATTTAAAACATAATTAATTTGATAAAATAATTGAAATAGAAAATACATTATTATTATATATATGTAAATCTCACCATTAATTAATATTTATAAGTCATTAAGAAATTGTGTGTGTTGAATAAAACCATATAACAAGATTCAAACCTTGGCCATTCTTAAGGCAAATCACATGCTTTGCCACTTATCTAACGAGATCGAAAAGGCTTTGCTTTGTTTGCCGGGTTCTTTGTAAAAAAACAATTTGTTCAAACTAACCTTTTTTTTTTTTTTCTATTTTCCCATACAATAATAATCTTTTCGCAGGATTATTATTTTGGAGATTTTTCCACCTTATTACCCAACAATATATATATATATATATATATATATATATATATATATATATATATATATATATATATATATATATATATATATATATAAAGGTTATATATGAGGTGGGGGTGGAGTGAGTGGGGCAGCTGCTCCCATGCTAGATCCAGTGGCGGACCCAGAAAATTTTTTGAGTGGGGGCAAAACATTATAGTGTGAAAATAATGAAACACTTACGAAATACAGTCATAAATATTGCTGGATATAAACGGAAAAAAAAAACATATTAAAATTTTATAAAAATATTCATAACAAAATATGAAATATAATTAATTTGATAAAATAATTCAAATAAAGAACACATTATAAATTACACATCTCATTATTAATATAAAAAAATTATATATTATATATATATGAAGAAATTAAGAAGCTCAGTTGCAAAAGAAGAAATTAATTAATTTGATAAAATAATTCAAATAAAGAACACATTATAAATTACACATCTCCTTATTAATATAAAAAAAATTATATATTATATATATATAAGAAGAAATTAAGAAGCTCAATTGCAAAAGAAGAAATTAAAGCAGCAGTTAAAAAACTAGATATATTGAGAGACAAAGGATTCAAACCAGTGACCTTTTCTAAGGTCAAACACAGCTCTACCAACTCAACCAACGCAACTATTGTTTACATCTTTTAGTTTTCTTATATTTATACGTATAACATGTACTATATATACATATATACATACAAGGGCTATATATGGGGTGGGGGTGGGGTGAGTGGGGGCAGGTGCCCCCACTGCCCCCACACTAGGTCCGCCATTGGCTAGATCCGCCACTACTTGGAAATAGGGAAGATGAATATTATCCCTTTCCCATGTACACCCTCTCAGCAGCCATCACTTTTTTTTTTTTTTTTTAATCTTCAATTATGGGTTTATGGCAAATGGGATTCATCTTGATAATTCAGACTCATCAAAAAATTAAATCAGTTGGGAGTATTGCCCATGCTACCCCCAAGCTTTTGCTTTGCCCCTTCCTTCTGCCACTCCCTCTTTCTAGCCATCCTCAGCTAGACAATGAGACCGTGAGGCACCCAATGGCCCCGGTCGGGCTGCTGCCTTGTCGCCTTCCTCGTCCATGCACAACCACATTGTCGCCTATTTTGGCCTTGGCCACCCAAAGCCAAGCTCATCGCGTCGTATCTAACTGTATGTTGGGAGGCACGCAATGGGTCTCATAGTAGCTCCAAAGCCCCTATTACCTCTAGCCAACTTTCTTAAATTTTATTTTATTTAATTTTTTATGGTTTTATTTTGTAAGCCCATATGACTTGCAAGCTCGCTAAAATAGCAAGCTTGCAAGCCTACAAAACGCTGTCACACATGACAACCTTTTGTCTTTATTTTTTAAAAATATTATTTGTTATTTTATTATTATTTTATTATCATATTTATAATATAATATAATTGCAACAACAGGCACCTGGCAGCACTGGGTAGTGCAATGATGTCTTGCACTGTGTGGTCTCGTGTGCGAGGTATCCCAGGTCTTTTGTAGAATGTGTGGTTGGTGTAGGATCGTTGCGCGCAATTGATTTAGGAGGTTTTCACTTGTGGAGTTTGACAAACACCTATCTCTCTATCCTATAAATAGCATGCAACTTTTTAAGACTTACATTATCTCTGGACTCTTATTATAGCATCCAACTGGTCATGAACAAACTCTCTATAGTCTTGAGGTCTTGTAATAGCCTTATTGACTTGTAATCTATACATTTTTATTTGACTATGTTATTTAAGGGACTGAAAAACGCACTTATACCCCAACATATCCTTGTTATCTATTTACAATTGTTACCCAATTTATATTTCAATATTGAGTTCTGTGGTGAGTGTTTTTTTTATTATTAATAATATCAATAGTAATACATTGCATCAAATTACTTCAAAAAAAAAAAAAAAAAAAAAAAAAAAAAAAAAAAAAAAAAAAAACTCATCCAATCTAATAAAATCAAATACTCATTCTCCAAATAATCAAACAGAAGTTCAAAAAGCCATACATAACCACTACCATATTCAGCCCAGGAACAAGCATACCCCAACCACACCAAAACCCCCACCCAAATCATATTATTATCCCTCAAGTGTATATGAAATCCTATTAGTCACGGACAATCCCATAATGGCACAACCACAACAACCCGCAAATTTTACAACCACCAAAGAAGTATAAAGTTACTGAAATATATTATAGAAAGAAGTAATCTAAAGTAGTTATATTGATGAGTTTGAGTACAAATATATTGAACGTATTTTCTACTTGTCATAGGAGTCTAGTATTTATACTAATGAGTACAATGACTCTCATGTTTAGTATAACTAAGCTTGTAATAGCTATAGTAACATGCTATCCTCATTAAGTGTATGATCCCTTTATAACTGATACTCCTTTAATGAGGCGGTGCTTTGTAATAAGTATTATGCCATCATGGTCCCTCTTGAGTGCATAGGCGACCGTTACGCTTGACCCTGGGTTCTCTGGGTTAGCTCTCCGAATCGAGTCCATCATTTACCCAATCACCGCATTACTATATTTAGCCATTAGAACAACCACCGAATAGTTTAGAAACTACTAGAGTTTTTTGTAAAAAAAGTAATAATAATAATAAATAAAAGTAAAAAATAGGAAAAACAAAAACAAAAAGAGGGTGATCGCCAGTCAACATGCCTAACAGCGAGTGCACGATTTTCGCACACTAAATTTACTCTTCTTTGTGAGACCCAAATAAAAAAAAAATCAAATCAAAACACTGTAATTTTTTTTTTCTCTCTCTCTCTCTAACTCCATCTCTTTCATGTCACCCAAAAAAAAAAAAAAAAAACCTTTAAAAACACTCACTGTTAAGAGTTACTCTGAGAAAACTTCAAATCAATGCTAACTAGTTTCTCACTTTCTCCTCTACTTGTCTTTTCTATAGTCAAGACACCGAAAATGTAAAACTTGGGCAAAAGAAGAACAGGAAGAGAAAAGATAAACCCAAAAAAAAAAGAGGAAGATTCCTTGATTTCCTTCTCACCAAGAAAAAAGAAAAAAGAAAAAAGGAAGATTCATAGCCAAAAGCAGAGGAAGAATGAAGAAGAAGAATAACAAAACAAAAAAAAATACAAAAACAAAACAGAGAAAAACAGAGACATGAACAATGAGTGATCAGCCATCATATAGAAAAACTCAAAAAAAATATTGAAAACATTATTAAGAAACAGACAAAATATCAAAACCATTCCAAATGGAATCATCTCTCAGAACTCCGAAGCAAAGTTGACAAAAATCAGTAAATCACACCAACAATGCATTATCAACAAGAAACTATATACAGATGAATCTGTACATGAAGCCAAGTGTAAGTGGAATGGAACATTAGTTCAATTGATACAACATAATACCAGTATACAATGTATTAAATGATGAAACTTGCCAAACAGTCATAACGTGGAACCTGGTTGGGCATCAAGACTTTTGCAACGATTGTGATCTCCGTATTTTGTTACGGGTTGTTTTCTAACACCCCTTTTAGAAGATTCAATCCTTCTGCTGATATACTCCGCCTAAATCGCGTTTGAGGTACTTCTATCCGGGGCGGAGGTTCGGGGGAGAAACACACCACGATTACTGTCAAGTTATCGCATGTGTTGCGCTTGAGAGCTTCCCGAACCAATTCTCTTGAACATCTTTCGGGATCATTGTGAAGCATCAATTCTTTCCTAGCCATTGTTACAGCATACTGGCTACTCATAACATCCCAAAGACCATCACAGCCCATGATTAAGAATTCATCATCCTCCGTTAGTATAGTCTCCTGCAACTCCGGCTCTGCACTCAAGGGGCAGGCAGAACCTTTCGGGCCCTTCATATGCCAATCTCCTAAGGCACGAGAAACAGATAGCTGGCCATTTAGGTACCCGTCGTATATGGCTCCTCCAAGTTTTTCTATTCTAAACCTTTCAGATGTGCTATTTGGTTTATGGTCCTTGGACAACTCAATGGCTCTTCCGCGTTTCCCCAACACAGCACGACAATCCCCGGCATTGGCAACTATCATTTTTCTGCAAAAAATAACATAATCCTCAAGTTCCTCTATGATATATAAATTGTGCCAAAATTACAAGACTAAATCAGACTCATCCCCCTGATATTGGTACTAAAAGTGTGAATCATTTTTATTTTCCGTAAATAATATACATGCTTAACCAGCTTGGTTGGCGTGAGTGGCCGCACACTCTCATCCCTTAAGAGAGGTCGGGAGTTTGAACTCCCGATTATATGGAAAAACCAATCTGGCCAGCACTTTGCCCCTTAATTGGGTAGCCCGGTGCGAATGGAGATTAGTCTGAGTATGGTACAGACCTAGCCTCCTACAGTTAGGACCTGCTTAGAACACCTCATGGCCTGACCAAATATATATATATATATATATATATATATATATATATATATATATATATATATACATGCCAAATAATAGGAACCCCATTTTCTCTTCTTGTTATTCCTTTTCGTAAGTGAATAATAACAAATAACAAAGGGGGAAATTAACGCATCATCCTAACTTATGACATATTTAAAGTACTGAAGAAATGCAAAAACCAACGAACCGTTCAAATATGAGTGCAGTCAGTGCTGTTGTACCAGAGGATATATCAAGGGCACTATCATCAGCAAAGGCATAATCAGTTTTCAGAAAAGCATTGCTGATAGCCTTTTCTAGACAAAGGGGGAAACAAGATTCCTCAACAATAAACTTGAGAATATTATTCCTGACAAATAATGCTGCATCTGTACCACCATGGCCATCAAAAACCTGCCGATAAAAATGAAATCCCCATTAACTTTCTATGCAGTAAGTCTATATAATCAATCAATAAACAAAATATGCAAAAATATGCAAGATCAGATGGTATGCTCCCTAGAGATCCCACAAACAGGGGCCAGGGGAAAATTGTAAAGATGAAAGCAAGTAAGCTACAGACCCCATAGAAAGCTCCAGAAGAAGTGAAACCCGCAGTTTCACCAAAATGCTCAAGTAAATGGTCTATTCTGATGTGTTCATCTTCCATGTATTGCTTGGGTCCTCTCTCAGCATAACTTCCAGAACGATATACTGGTATAAAGCTTGGTTTTCCTTTGGAAGGGCACTGGGCCTCCTTGACACCATAATCAAAATCCTTCAAAAGGTATAAAAATGAACAAAATTAGCTACATAGTTCTTAGAGCATATCACATGCTAAAGGACATAAGCGGAACTGCAAAGCATAAAAGCAGTATTGGAAGTTATTTATGCTTCTTTGCTAATGAATAATAAGGCGGGCAAAAACGATTCCTTCTAGGTTTGGAAGTTCAGGTAATATTATTAAGATTCCTCTCCACCTGTTAAGTCTGAAAAAAGCTGGTCTTTAACTACTTAGCTATAGGAACCCATCCCCACAAAGTAAGAAGACAAGGTCAAACAATAGCTTTGCTATTCTGCATATCGGGTCGGGGTTAGAGTGGGATATTACAAGCTAAGTGCTAAAAACACATTCAAATAGTTAGAGATGCATCTTAAATGTAGAAAGTATCAAAGAGGACTCATCCTCATCGGTGTCTAACTGAGCCCGTACTATACTCAGACTAATCCCCATTCGCACCGGGCTGGCCCAAAGTGCTGGCCAGATTGGTTTTTTCATACAAGAGGGGGTTCAAACTCCCGACCTCTCTTAAGGGATGAGAGTGCACGGCCACTCACGCCAACCAAGCTGGTTAGTATGATGATATTTAATGCAGCAGTATAATAATAACACACTAGAAAGAGCATTATTCGAGCAAACCATTTCACAAATTATAACAAGTAGATCAATTTATAGAAAAAACCCATACACAGCAAAGATAAGAGGCATTAACCTAAACATTCCAAGGGGGTGGGTAGAAACATACCAAATCAGCAGACGCTACAAGCACAGCAGAACTTATAGAATGCCTCACAGTGGAAAGATGCCGTGGAGGTCTGCCACTCGGTTCTGATTTCACTTGTAATTCATTGTTTGAAGTTGGAGTATTGTCCTTGTTATTATAACTTCCTTCTAATACAGTGAATGTATGTGAAATTTCAGTATCAGAAGCCATTAGCATTCCTGAACATAAACTCCAGTCCTAAGCACTAATCCCCTTGGCTTGAACAGATCCTTATCCACAACAAAATTAACTTCCTTCCACTTCACTTCTTTCCAAATTCCAAAGGTAACCAGAAGGTTCTATGATCCAAACTTAGCAATTGAAGAAGTTTTGCCCCAAAAATCCAACCTTTCGGCCTTGTAAACCTAAAGCCTAAAACTATGCCAAGAAACCCAAAAACCCAGAAACCCAGATCAAGCTTTCAGAACTTTCACTAACCTAAAAACTGAAGACAGGAAAGGATAGGATTAAAACTCACCCAAATCAATGCTTGTATGCATAATTGAAGGAAACCCAAGTTCAGAGACTAATCAAGATACTGAAATGAATTACAAGAATTTAATCCTCTTGAGCGAGTTTAAACACTAAAGAAGAAGAAATTTCTCACAAGTAATGAGGGCGATTGAGTGTGATCTTGCTCTCCTTTGTGCTACTTGTCAGACATTAAGAGAAAACCCCCAAAAATGGAAACCTTCTAAGTGAGAAATCAACGCCCAGTCCAAGCTCCAAAACATAAACAAAGAAAAGAAAGGAAAAAAAAAATTTAAAAAAAAAAAGAGAGTTTATAAGGGTCAATGTATGCACAAGCGGATTGGGATTGGGTGGGGCTCATCGTCTCGTGGAGTCGTGGGAGTTTGGTATTTAGTACAAAACCGGCGATTAAGGGTGGTAAACTGCTAATAGTCCAATTCATCTAGTCACCTTTGCTGAATAGGTCGTGAATTTAAACATTATTTTATAAATCCATTATGTTGACATCTTATTCACTTTCTACTTTATAAAGTAAACTAGTTTTTTTACGCACTTTGTGCGAATGAGATAATGCCCAATAATTATTTTTAAATAAGTATTCCAAAGTATATCAATGCAATATTATATAGGAAATTTTCATGCATATGTAAATAAATGTTGAATTTGTTTATTTAAATCGGTAATTTAAAGTATATAAATGCAAGATAATATATGAGAGATTGATTATAATTGTCACTAAAATAAATGTTTGCAACTTTGTAATAACGCTAGTCTAAATATTTAGTTTTAAAGCGATAGTCTAAATAAATACTACTTTTGATTTAAATTTCTCTAATTTTTCTTTAATTCTTTTTTTGGGTAGCATTGTTATTGTTTTCATCTTCAGTACATGTCCTCTTTTTTTTTTGTTTTTTTTATTGGTAGTGTTTCATGTGCAATTAGGTTACTGGTAGCAGCATAGAGGGATTCATCATGCAATGAGATTATGGTGTAGGAAGTTTTAGATTTACCTTGCTGTGTATATGACTGAGATTTTAGTTGTAATATGAACTCTTTAGCGTACAAACACCTATTACAAACACCTATTGATATTTAGTAGTAGTAGTTTTTTTCCTACATGTTTCATGTGTTGTGAGATGTGTGTCGCAGGTTATCATGTGAAAGTATTGAACGAAATATTAATATATATTATATTTGTATAAAATACTTGGTAAATAAATAAATAAATAAATATATATATATATATATATATATATATATATATATATATATATATATATATATATATATATATATATATATATATATATATATATATATATATATATTTTGGATCCGGTGAGGTTACCTTTGTCAGGCGAGGTGGTGAGGCTTGATCTGGTGCGTTTATTTGAGTTTTTGGATGGATTAGATTTGGCTGAATATAATGCCTTGTGCGTGTGATTTATTTGCATGTGGGGGTGGTGTTGTCTTTTTGGTAGTGTCTTAATTAGGGTGTAATAATTAATTAGCAGATTTTATGGACTTGTGCACTACTTAATTATGGTATTGTATCGGGTGTGTGCAATTTGTTTTCCCGTGTGTGCATTTGGCTTCAATTCTTTGTTATGCTGTGTGTGCAATTTGTTTTCCCGTGTGTGCGTTTGGTTTAAATTCTTTGTTATGACAGGTATGATCAATTATCGGTATGGTTGTGGTTTTTGTTGCATGTTGATTCCGTTATTCAATTTAAAAATTAATGAACAGAAGTTTGCGTTGTGTTATGAAGTTTTTCATTGTGCATTTTATGTGTTCGGCTTGTGCGTTGGGTCACAAATAGGTTGACAAGTTTTCAGGCCAAATATCTCTTATTTGGACTGTCAACTAGAATTGAGGCAAACTTTTACCATATTTTTATAGCTTGGTTTTTGTTTTTTTACGTAAAGCAATTTTGGTATGTGTATTTTAATTGTAACATGTTATGATCTATTAACTGTTGGTATGTTGTTATTTTATATATTTATTTGGTGCTTTTTGTTGTTATGGTCTGTGCGATTAGGGTTTACATGGGTGTGTGTGTGGTTTTTTTTTTTTTTTTTTTTTTTTTGTTTAAAATTTACACTGGATTCTAGTAGATCTGACGTTTGTTCGGTTTAGTTTTTGGGCTTGTGCGTTGGGTTCTTAACTCAACGCACCGACTTAACAAAATGGCTGCACAGACAGAACATAACCCATAACACACTTTTATTAAGGTTGCACATACCTCTTTCCGGTTGCACCTTCATTGTTGAGGAGATATCCCTCCGCAAAACACTATTGCTGAGTACAAATGTTTAAATACAACTCACACTCTATCAACAATAATTTATAACCGTAAATATATTATTCAACACCATAATTAGTTGATCCTTAGCATGGAATATATTCCAATCTATTCCTAACCATATATAGCTCTAATATTACAATTACTTATACACCCTTATACATAGACTACTACCATAGATGGAAAATAAATCTCTTTCAATCTCACCATTTGATATGTTATGATTTAATGGATGAGATGAGGCCCCATTATCTCACCCATCTAAGTGACCTCATGGGATCCGAAGCCTATATATATATATATATATATATATATATATATATATATATATATATATAACATGTTTTGTATTATAACTTTGATTTTTTTTTTTTTTGAATGCTATAACTTTGATATTTAATTACAAGATAATGTAAAAAAGAAGACAATGAACAATGTAGTGAATATAATAAATTAATAAATTTAAAGGTAATGAATCTTTGAATTGTAGAAAATAAAGATAATATAAGTAATGAAATTATATTTCTTTTAAATTTTTTTATAATGAATAATTTTTTTTAAATAAAGCATTATAGACATCTAATTCTAAATTAATTAAATGCATATGTATTCTTTTTTGTTGTAGCTACTAATTTATTTAATTAATAAGAGTAATAAAGTGTCATACATACTTTTCTTCAACAATAATGAAATCAATGATTTTTTTTTTTAATCTCCATTCCTTGTTGAGACAAATTGTTTTGTGAGTTTGTCCATAACAATTGCTACAATTGCTGTTAATAGAGGATGATAATAAATAATTTATAATATATGGTTACAATATATATTAATATAATGATATAGTAAAAATTAACTTACAAATTTTTTTAGAAGTTTTCATGCATTGATAAAATTTTAATGTGTAAACTTGTTCAATTGGAGCTAGTAGGATGTTAACATTGTCAGTTATTTGAAAAATGATCCTACCGTTTTAGAGTCCATGTGTAATTGTATTTATGATCAACAACTTTGTAGTTAGGCCGCACAGGTCTGACAATGATTTAAGAACATTGTCCGATAAAAAAATAATAATAGTATAATATTAGTAATGTAATGTACAATTGTACCATTACAAAAAAAAAATATATTAATACCATAATGGCCTAAATCATTCCAATAATGCAAAAGCATAATTGAAATATTAAGTTTTGTTCTAAATAATCAGAAGAAGATTAATTTAAAAAAAAAAAAAAACTTAACATAAATTTGTTTTTTTTTTAAATAAAAAAATTCAAGAAAATCAAATAATTTTAAAGTAGTTCCTGATTTATAATATTTGATGCTCAACTTTGAATGCTATGTATTTAGTCGAGCTAATTATTTGACCAAAGTTTATGTTAAATTTTATATTATATATATTTTTAATACATTTTAAGTTTTTAACATATTCATAATATATGTTTAACAATTATGTCAATTATACTTGGGATGAGGTTCGAACCTAAGATCTTATATAAATTAAGAGTATGTTAAGAATAATAAATAGTTAACGGAATATATGTTTAACAATTATGTCAATTATACTTGGGATGAGATTCGAACCTAAGACCTTATATAAATTAAGAGTATGTTAAGAATAATAAATAGTTAACGGAATATTCCGTTACTAAAGTTTAAACTAACGGAATTTAGGGTTATTTAATGGAAGAAAATAATATAATAGAGGGTAAATAAGGAAAGTCATTAAAAGATACTAAAATCAAAATAATATGAACCATTCATTTTAAGAAACAATTAGTACCGACATTTTTTTGTTCCAGTTAAGGGCCTAACATTATTCGCTCTTATTAGATTTGTATATTTGTATTGTATGTATATTTGTAGATGTAGATGTAGATTTGTAGATATAAATAAATTTAACAACATACGTTCATCCAGTAAAACTTAAAATAATTTTTTTTTCCTTAGAAGTAAATTGTGAGTACAGTGTGTCTGGTTCTCAATATAACATGTAATAGAGAACACTTCTGTGATGATTGGTCAACTTTACATTAATCTCAAGTTTTTAACGAGAATCAAACTCCCGCAATAACTTGTGTTGATTGGTTATTCAACTAAGCATGCCTACGAAGAGAGGGGGCCGGGTGGTGGCAAATTTATTTATTTATTTTTTTGTCCGATCTAGGAAGGGTGGATAGAAAAAGAAAAAAAACAAAAAACAAAAGAACAAAATAAATAATTAGAAAAAAGAATTAAATAAACCCTAAAACTATTTGAAAATGTGTAATTACACTCTTGATCTAAAAAGAAAAAGTTAAGAATAAAAATTTGGTACCAAATGCATTTCTCAAATTGGGTCGATTGCCCTTATTACTAACCGGAGAAATTAGTAATATATATATATATATATATATATATATATATATATATATATATATATATATATATATATAGAGAAAGGCGGGTTCAAGTGCGGCAGTGTCTTACGGTGTGGTTATTTCTTACGGTGCGGCAACACCAATAGTTCACCAAATATGCACCATCAACGTTAGGAAATACACCACACAAAACAGAGTAAACAGAGCCCTGCATCACCAAACACACACCATTAGGTGTGAGTAAAAACACCATACACTGTTCGGAAATACACCATTGGGGTGGTGAGTTATATGATGTATTTTTTTGAGTCTGTGGTGTATTTTGTGATGTTTTATTACATTTCATTGGGGTGTGTTTTTATTACACTGTTGGTGCATATTGTTAACACTGTTGGTGTATTCTGAAATTTGACCGCACCGCCGCACCGTAAGACCCCGCCGCATATGAGCGCTCTTATATATATATATATATATATATATATATATATATATATATATATATATATATATATATATATTGTTTACTAAAATTATATATATATATTGCTTACTAAAATTAAACCATTTTCCAAATTGAAATGGAGAATGTTCTCAAATTTTTTAGAATTTGGAGAAACCATTTAACTAATTCTCCAAATTTAGAGAAATAATAATAAAAAAAACATGAACAATATTGACTATCTTTGCAAACTTTTCTAACTATTTTTTTCTTCGATAAATGAAAAATAAAGACCATGAATGACTAGAACACATTTGAAAAATGTGTTTTATGTTGAAAACAAGCTTAGTATTTCACAATATATACACTTCCCAACTGTTTTGGTTGAAGAGTATGGTAAAAATAGAACTAAATTTCATCCTACCAAACACCTTATGAATTTGAATTTAAACATTTAACTTATTTTGTAAATAGATCACTCCTACCACTCAACTAGTCAACTACGTACACACACATTTTGTAAACATAATTAAAGAATGTCAAAAAAAATTGTGAAGTGTAAAAAATATTATTTGTTTTAAACAATTTCATAAAAACAAGAATAAATTGATATTACAAATATTTTAAATTTATGTTGATAAAAAACTTAATAATGAAGTGTACAATTTCAATATTTCAGGTTATTTTGGTATGTAAAAAAAAAAACTTAATAATTAAAATAAAAGAAATTTACATTAGAAATAAAGAAATATAATTTTGTTAATGTTATTTTTTTTTTGAATAAATGAAGTAATATGTATTTTCTACAAAATTTTAAAATGTTACTCCGTAAACATTTATTTGTGATTCACAATATAATTTGTCCTCGGGTGGTTGGAGTTTGTATGATGGGTGTCTTTAAAAATATTATTTTTAATTTTAAATATTTTTTAAAAAAGAAAAACAAATTATCTTTATATATATTTAAACAAGTAGAAAAATAAGTAACAAAAGTGATAAGAAATAAACTCAACAAAATAACTTATTACTAAACAAATTAGGATTAGGAAGTCTAGTTTTAAACAAATTAGGATAGGACGCTTTTTAGTTTTAGCGCGCGGTGGGAGTATATTTATTTATTTATAAGTAGGAAATAAGGTATGTGGTTCTGGAATTTGCTCTTCTTTCTCTCCTTCCTCTAATCAATCAATCAATCCAGATTAATGGCGGCGGCGACAATAAGGGCCCTGACCGGCTTCTCTTTGCAAGCCCCAACTGACGGAATATTGCGGATTCGGTTGATTACAATACCCCCCGGTTCTACACCCTTGGCCTCGACTGAATCATATTTTGAATTTGACTTCGATCCGGTACTGGACTTGAGTTCTCCGGCGACGGCTTTCTCCTTCTTTTCCGACAAGCTCGCCGAAGTGGATTCTGGGGTGGGCGCAGAACATGTCGGTCGTATAGCGACGTTTGCTTTCGACCATGTGAGCAGCAGAAATTGGATTTCTGGGTTGTTGTTAAGGGTCGTCCTAGAAACGGAAATGGATCATAGGAACTATGAGGAGTCTGAGAATGAGAATGGTATGTCGGAAAAGACAGAAGAGGTTAGCAGCGATGAGGAAGGTGAATGTTGCTCTATCTGCTTGGAAGGGTTTATGGGAGGGAAAATGGCCATTCGATTGTTGCCATGTTGGCATAAGTTTCACAATGGGTGTATTATTCCATGGCTGCGCAACAACACAACATGTCCCATTTGCCGCTGCACATGTACTCTACACCCAAAATTTCATAAAATGTAAACATTTTTTCATTAATCTTGATTTAAAACTATATTAGTGTACTTACAAGGTTAACATACATTATCCATATTTTTTTTTTTTTTTTTTTGAATGCTACTAGCTCTATTACATTGTAGTATCTGTTCATATACTTTCTCAACCTACTGAAACACAGAGAGCTAATAACGCCTCCACTGAGGCTCGAACTTACAACCTTCCAAATGGAAGTCCAACCCGGATACCATTAGACCACATAGTCCTGGTAATTTTACCACTTTTAAAATAACATGGAAATTTGTGTGTGTATGTTTTTTTTTTTTTTAAAATTTTATATTTTGCACACCGTATTTCAATTCATTTTCCCCTTAATTCCTTATTTCCAACCAAACGTCAATGTCAAATAGGCTACTGAACTTTTACACATTGTGCAATTGAACCATCGAAAAAAAAAGTGTGCAATTAAACCATTAAAAGCTCACAAATTGTGCAAATAACATTTTTTACCATTACTTTCAAGTTGTCCTTAAATATGATGTCATAATATCAAATTATATATAAAAAATTATTTTAATTATTTCTTAAACAAATTAAAAGAAAAAAAATCAGAAGAAAGTGGAGTATGTAGCTAGTTTCTTTCTGATAATGATTGCTTACTCATTGAATTGAAGCATTAATTAGGAGCGGATCGGAGCTACAAATTAAACAACCATGGTGGGCGGGCAGTAGTGAGTTGAGCTACAATTAACAATGGCTACCTCCACCTTAATTTTTTTAATATTATGTTTTTCTTTTAATTTTTAAAATAATAATTAAAATAATTATATATATATAATTTGACATTATAACATCATATTTAAGGAAAATTTGAAAGTAACTTGTAAAAAATGTTATTTGCACAGTTTTTGAGTTTTTAATGGTCAAATTAGTGAGAATTACACACTTTTTCTGTTCGATGGTTCAATTGCACAATGTGTAAAAGTTCAGTGTCCCATTTGACACTTTTTCCTTTATTTTTTTGTTGAATTTGCATTGCACCAAGACGTTTGGTTGGAATGAAGGAATTAAGGTGGAAATGAATTGTAATTCAGTGTGAAAAGATCGAATAAGGTGGAATAAAGTATGAATTAAATTAAAATTACATTGTTTGATAGGGAGGAATAAAATTATTGAGAATGGAAATGGAAGAGGTGATATAAAGACTAAAATGCTCTTGTGTAATAATATTAATATAATTTTCAAGGGCAAATATGTCATTTTCTTCCTTTTCCATTTTCTTTGTAGGGATGAATTGCAATTCATATGGGGGGACCTATATATGAATTGCAATTCATTGAATTGAGAGAGTTGCAATTCATTGAATTGAGAGAATTGCAATTCCAATTTCCTCTAACCAAACAATGTAGTTTATCATTTCATAGAATTGCATTGGCATTGAATTGCAATTCATGCCAACCAAACACCCTTTTAGGGATGAATGGAAGGAAAAACTATGTAACATTGAGCTTGTCTTTGTCCTGGAATTTTGCCGGGAATTGGTCGAAGGGTCACCGGAGTAGGTCAAAGTGTCGCCAGAACCCTAGTGACCTGCAATTGCAGGTTTTTGAGTTTCAATACTTCAAAATAACATGTTTATGAGTTTAATTGCAACATTTGAAAGTTTAAGAGCTTAAATGACTTTTTGAGTAAAGTTTAAGGGTTTATTTGATCTTTTTAAACATGTGATCTGTAATATTGAAGTGATGTAGAGAAAATAATGAAGAAATTGTAAAATTTAGTGATGTAGAAGTAGAACCCATTTTTAAAAGTGAGAGAGTATTGCACGGATAAGAATAACCTAATGTATGAGTTATGAGAATTTCATAAAATGTTATATGATTCGTTACTCTATTTTTAAAAGTTCGTAAACATTAGAAAAATGTAAACAGATATTGCTAGGGAAATTGTCTTTTCCTCATCCAATACAACTATACAAGCCACTACCTGAGACTGCATCTTTCCCAAAAAAGAAATGAATAAAGAATGGCAAAGAAGACTTCCAATAATACAATTTGTTTATTCCATGCACCTATTGCTTTCTTTCTGGTGTTGCTACTTGCAACAATTCAATATTCAGTTGGAATGTTTCTCCTGGCTGCATTATGAGAAATTTTCACCGGCTTAACCAAACAAAACAATAACTAAGAAAAGCCATGATGTATATGAAAATTTTAAGTGCCAATTCCTACCGGTGCCTTTTGCACGAGGTACAACTATCTATGCTTTTGAGGTTTTATCGGGTAGTGTGGCAACAAGAGTTGACAATATTTGGTACAACCTCAAAAGTATATCTCGTTCTACCTAGTCCCAATATATATATATATATATAGAGAGAGAGAGAGAGAGAGAAATTGAGGATCATATGAAAACTATGCCTTGAGAACGTGAGAACTGTATGAGTGTACATAATCTACTACACGAATGCACACGCAATTACTCTCGGGTCTTTACTGTCATCCAGGCATGCCTAGGAGTAGATTGTGTGCACTCATACAGTAGTTCGTAGGTTCTCACCTAATGCATGGTTTTCATGTAAACGCAATCATATATATATATATATATATATATATATATATATATATATATATATATATATATATATTGTATAGTAACATTTGACTAGATATGAAGCAATGTGTTTGTTTCTGTTCTTACTGGAATCTCACTCATTCCTTTTGGGCCATATCCTTCCTCTGGAGGAACTATCACAGTCCTCTGCACAGTAATAAGGTGCAAAAAAAAAAAAAAAAAATGAAATGAAGTATTTTGATAGGTAAGGCGGTTTGAATAGAAAAAGAAGAAACATATATATCATAATACCTTCCCTCCAACTTTCATTCCTTCAGTTATTTTGTACATGGCTTTTGGAGGTTTTGGGGCAGCCTGAGCAGAAAATAAACCATTTGGATTGTCAACAAAGTCTCGCTTCCGCTCTTTCCCTGGTGGAGCTCCAACCTGGAACTCATATGGCTACTTAAGAATAGATAGAACGAAAGCTAGCATCAGCAATTTGTCCACCGACTTGATTCGACAAGTAAAATGTATATACATTGCAAACTTTGTATTAGAAAATGTAATAGGAACCTATATATATTGAGTGTCATATCTTTAAGTAAAATGTGACATGATTTTTCATCTATTTATTCCTCTTGTTTGACCTTTTCGATGCAGTTAAAGTTCTTTTCCCCTCCTATTTTTGCCAACATTTACATTTTTTGGGTGAAATATGCAAGCCTTCTTTATCTTTTGTCATTACATAATCCATTTGACAGGTCCAAGTTTCTGAAATAACATTATGGGATAATTTGAACTTCCCAAACTCCTCAAGAACTTAATCAGCTTCTAATAACATTATGGTTAATTAGTTTTTTTGTAACAGTTTATTGCTCCAAAACACTAAAATTCAAAAAGCTGCTCAAAGCAACATTTTCAATAAGCTTTTTGAGAAAGTTATTTTGTATGTAATATATCAACTAACATCCATTTAAAAAAAAAAAAAAAAAAAAAAACCCTATCAACTAACATTTAATTTACCAAACATATTTCTACAATCAACTAATGCTATCAACTAGTCAAACTCACTAACTCAATCAGCTAACGACTATTTACCAAACACCGCGTTATGATTCTCACAGATGCAAATTACCTGTGCAATAATGCGATTGCCAGCCAATAGTTTTGATTCTCGACTTGAAACTGCAGTTATACCACGATATACACAGTCGAAATGCACCTGCAAGGAATGGATAGCAGTGAGGAAAAAGGTCAAGTTTTGATACAGTACTTGTTAGAAGTGAAAATTAAAGAAGTGAAAAGGGACCTGCACAGTTGATCCTTTTTCAGCCACAGGGCCACTTCCTTCAACAAGATCATAATATTTCAGCCCATCGGCTGCTCCAAAACAAATCAATCAGTTAATACAACAACAATTTTGATCATTAACTGTGCTTTTTATCAACTAACTACTCCGAATAGTACTTAGAGAGATTATCTCATACATTCAGAAAGACCTTCTGATTCATCAATTTCATTAATTACAAAAGATAGTATTAGTATGTATAAAATCACTTAAGAATAGGTCAACAGAAATTTCAGTTTAGAGGAATGAAGGAAAGCAAAATTGAAGAATAAGGGAAAGAAGGAGGACTAACAGGTAGTGTTGTAGTCTTCGAGAGGAATGGTCTTCCTGTTGCGCCTCTCCCTGGCGAGCAAAGGTTGCGGCGGCGGCAGCAAAGTGAGAGGGAGGACTGAGATGAGAATTAGTGCAGACCTTCTTGATATGATTGGTGATGCTTGCTGGGTAGGTGTGTTGGAAGGGCGAGTTGGAGAATGCAGAGAATTGGCGATGAACCATCTCTGAGTGCTATGTGTTGCAGCCATGAAGCTGAATTTGAAGCTTGGCGATGAATGCTCTGCTCCACACTCCACAGGTGTGTTTATGAATTATCCAAAACCCGCCCATCTTATTCTTTAAGACGGTGCTCCCCCACGTGCGTGTGAAACTAATGTCTTCCGCAAAAATATACATTAATCTTTCCTTAAAATCCACTTATTTATCGAGGGTCCTGAACTATGGTAAATGTAGCAGCGTGGACCATAAAGTAAGTATTATTTTATTATATTTTAGTTTCATTTGACTATGTATCATGGTCTAATTGTCACTTAGGAGGCATGACAATTTTACTACGGCCACTCACGCCAACTAATTTGATTTTTAATAATATAAGATTTTGTACAAAACATTCAATATGTAAGATTTTGTATTCACTTTTATTTTGTACACAATGTATATTCATTACAACACTACAAAGTATAATTCTTATTCAACTATCGTTTCATTTGACAATATACACTTATGAAACAAGCTATTCAGTTGCAATTTTTACACACTGTAACTTTTTTAGGGAAATGAATTGTTTTGGCTATGGTTGCAATAAAAATATTGTTTTGCCCTTAATTTTCACGGCTCAAACGAAATATCTTAACGGAAGGACTACGGCAGGTCGAATTCGAAATTCAAAGGATCACGGAAGGTCGATTTAAAAATTTAAGACTAAAAATGACGAAATCACCCGAACCTTGACTGACATTTACTCAAACTAAAATATCCTAACTAACCGATTTTAATCCTCCAATATCCCCACGCAAGCTGATATATGTCCTGCATATACAAACTTGGTTAGCCTGATATTTCAAGGAATTGAGTTAGAATGGACAATGGTCCATGATAGATCACTAAAATTCAAGCCTGTTTTTTACAAAAGAGTAAATACCTAAAATGATCCCTCGACTATAGCTAAATTCACAAATTGGTTCTCGACTTTCAATTTCAACCAATTAAGTCCTTAACTTTGTAATTTTAACACAATTTGATCCTCTGTCTATTTGACCGTTTGTTGACCGTGATTTTTGAGGATATATATGTAATTTCATGGTCCATCGTCGGGTTTTTAAGGTTCCGGTTGCATTTTCAGACCGTACTGTTACATTTGAATCCACTGCCGAAAGCAGTCTACCAAATCCGGTCGCCTTTCTTCATCCTCTCATTGGATTCAATGTAGTTGAGTTCGTACCAGAGCGAAGAAGACGACGTGTTTCCAAACCGGTGCAACGTCATCCTAGAGGCCTCCACGTGCTCCGACGAGAGCTGAAGGTTCTTCTGGAGATCGTCGATCACAGTCAATAAATGGTCAAATAGATGGAGGACCAAATCGTGTCAAAATTACAAAGTTAAGGACTTAATTGGTTGAAATTGAAAGTCAAGGACTAATTTGTGAATTTAGCTATAGTCGAGGGACCATTTTAGATATTTACTCTTTACAAAAATATAAAATATCTAATGGCTATATTTTATAGTCAAACACTTTATATTGAAACTACTGAAAATTTCATGAGTTGACATTACAATGTCAACAAGTTACATGTGTACGTGCATTTAATGTTCAATGCCATTTCTTGTTTTACCATATCTAAATGATAATTCTTTTTCAATTTTCCAACAATGTTTAAATCTGATAAATAGTAAGATGGAACAAATTTTCTTTTTTGTAAAAATATGTTGGGAGAAGTATATATTGCAAAAATGTCCTCCACCCTCAACACTCTAATACAGCATAATACTAATTTTATAAGTTGGACTTCAGATGGCAGGTCAAGTGTACTGTATTCACTCATACTTACTTCTTGCATTCCTCAATTGCATGACCACCTGATAAAACTTGCAGTTGCTTCAGGAATACATATTTTACCAATGTATAGCTTTACCCAAATGTTAGAAGCGGAGAAACAAATCCCAAAACCATGAAATCTTGCAGAAGCAAAAGAGGAATCACGATGAAGAGTCACTAAATTCAATTTGAAATAATTTGAGAGATAATTTGGACGGAAAGTTGTATAAGTAAGATTTTATTTTTATTAATAGTATTATTTTTAGACTTTTTCAAAAATTTTATTATGATTTGTTGATTTAGAAGTATAGTTATTTCTTATAATATATAAAAACGGTTGAAAGAAAAAAGTATTTGTAAATATATACACTGAAACACATTTGGATTAGTACTAAGTTTTGATATTGGTTCCAACCAAGCTTAAAAAATCAAGTGATTTCATTCGGACTAAGGAGGCTATTAATATGTATTTGAAAAAAAAAAAAAACATAGAACCCGAAAAATTAATTTCTAATCAAAATGAAAGGTTTCATTCTTTGAAAAAATTGTCTTTGATCTATTTCTTTTATTCTTGTCCTTTGGAGATTTTGACGGATAAAGATAATAGATGTTAATTGGATTTTTATTTTCAAAAATATTTTACATTATTTTTATAATAATAATTTTACATGATCTATTTCTTTTATTCTTGTTCGTGGGAGATTTTGTTGGATAAAGATAAATAGATAATCTATGTTAATTGGAATTTTATTTTAAAAAAAATAATTCTACATTATTATTATTATTATTATTATTATTATTATTATTATTATTATTATTATTATTATCATTATTATTGATTGATTGAAATTATTTGAAAGAAGTAAATTGATGGAAAATGTAAACATATATTGATAGGGAAATTGTCTTTTCCTCATCAAATACAACTATACAAATATAGTTTTTACTTTTTAAGTCTAATATATGTAAGATTTTTATATTTGATATTCGAACGAAATTTATATTCGTAAATAACATAATTAAAAACATATCCAAACCAATACCCATAATGTGTATATATATATATATATATATATATATATATATATATATATATATATATATATATATAATTTTTACTTTGAAATTTATATATGATATTCAGACTAAACTTGTATAACGATATAACATATCTAAAAATATCCGAAACAATAATCTATTGAGTTCAATCAACATCTAAATTTTGGTGTAGAGTTGAAGTTTTAATTTTGATAATGTGGATAATGTCTAACTTTAGATGTAAGCAATAGTTATGTTTATATAAGTAAATGCAAGTAGAAAAGATAGAAGATAGTGATAAGCAAAAGAATCTGTTATACTAATAAGAGCCCAAGAGAGTTAGGCCTATAATGGGTAGAAAAAATGGCGGTCAAGTTTTTTAATCAAATGAATGGCTCAGATTGATCAGATTTTATTTTTTTTCCTTTAAATTTCCTAATTTATCCTTAATGAATATGATTATCCGTTAAATATTATCTTTTCAGTTAATTTATGTTAGTTCACCGTTAACTTACTCATTGATTTCAATAAGAAAGGTCTTAGGTTCGAACCTCATCCCAATTAAAATTGGCATAATTAGTACTCTATTTTACTCTTATTAAATTAAATAATAATTTAGTAGCTACAACAAAAAATAATACATATGCATTTCTTTAATTTAGAATATAATTATGTGTCTATAATGTCTTTATTTAAAAAAAAATTATTATTATAAATAAATTAAATAAGAGAAATAATTTCATTAGTTATATTGTATTTATTTTTCTCCAATATAAAAATTCTTTACATTCAAATTCATCAATTGATTATATTCACTACATTGTCTATTATCTTTTTTGTGCACTATTTTTTAATTAAATATCAAAGTTATAATACAAAATAATCCTATATATTTATTTACCAAGTATTTTATTAATACCATGAAAAAATTAAAAAAATATAATTAATAAAGTCAATCATATTAACTACTTGAGTGGTTTGTTGACAAAGAGAATATTCAAATCACACAACAAATTGAAATGAGAACTACCTCGCAATGTCCTTGTTTGACAATCAGCAGTTAGTGGATTATATTAGCGAATTTGACCAGTGAATTATATCAACGGTTGGTAAAAAAATATTTGAAAAAATTAACTGTTTAGATTAACATTTAAAATGACCTAAGGGTATACATATATTTAATAATAATAATAATAATAATAATAATAATAATAATAATAATAATAATAATAATAATAATTGTTTAAAAAAAATTAAGCCAATCATATGAACTACTTGGGGGATTTATTGACAAAAAGTGTATTCAAATCACACAACAAATTGAAGTGAGAAAATATCTCGCAATGTCCTTGTTTGGCAATCAGCGGTTAGCTCTTCAATATTAGTATATATTTAATATTTTATGCCCTAATTTTTATTTGCTCTCTCTTATGTCCCATATTTGGTTTCAAGTATACCTATACAATTATTTTATTGACAATTATAATCAATCTTGACTATATTAGCTTGCATTTGTAAACTTAGAATTGCATATTTAAATACGCAAATTTAACATTCAATTATCTATGCATGAACAATCCAATATAATCTTGCCTTGATATACTTTAAACTATTTATTTAAAAAAAAAACATTGGGCATTATCCAATCGCGCAATGCGCGTAAAAAACTAGTATGATAATAAATTTAATCATAGTAATGAATAATTATGTAAGTAGATAATTGTGAGAATGTGGTTCATATAGCCAAATAGATGATAGATGATTCTGTTTTTCATTTAGAAAACAGTTTTTAAAAATTCTCCATTTTTTCTAGAAAATTAGAAAATGTTTTTTTTTTTTTAAATTTTCAAAATGGAAAACTGTGCTGGTACCATGTTTTCTGTTTTTCATTCTCCAATTTTTTAGAAAATTGGAGAAATTTTTCATGGGTAAATGACTGAAATGGGAAGGAAAGAAAATGCAATGACAAAAATATGAAGCTTTTAAAAAATGGACAATATTGAAAAAAAAAAAAATTATTTAGGATATGCGTTTTTTTTCAGAAATGCAAGTCGCAAATGAGTTTCTCAAAAATTTAAAATGAATTTTTCTTTTTTTCGCTAAAATATAAGAACTCGTATAATACGAGAAATGACGATAATTGAGAAACTGGAGAAATTTTCCAGTTAGCAAACGGACCCCCTAGTTTTGCGCAAATTATGCTGTGCAACCGAATGCACCTTGCAAGGTGCATACGGTTACAAAACGGCGTCGTTTTGGTTAAAAAAACGCACGTCCCACTTAAAGATGAAATCAGGTTCGATTCCCGGCAATAGCATTTTTATATATCCAGAAATTCATAACTATATATCCAGAAATTCATAACTATATATCCACAAATTTATAACTATATATCCACAGTGAATGAATGAAGTAAAAATCCACAATGAATGAATGAATGAAGTAAAAATTTCACAATGAATGAACTAAATATCCACAATGATTGAACTAAATATCCACAATGAATGAACTAAATATCCATAAATTCATAACTATATATCCACAGTGAATGAATGAACTAAATATCCACAATGAATGAACTAAATATCCATACATTCATAACTATATATCCACAAATTTATAACTATATATCCAGAAATTTATAACTATATATCCACAATAATGCTATTGCCGAGAATCGAACTTGATTTTTTTTTTTTTTAAATGGGACGCGCGTTTTTAGTCAAAACGACGTCGTTTTGCGTCGTATGCACCATGCGCATGGTACATCGGTTGCACCACATAACTATTGCTAGTTTTGCCCCACTCAAGTGGACCATGTAGGAGTGAGGTTTCAAAAGGAATAATGCAATTAAAAGAGTTTAATCAGTCAAATCTCATCGCCATTGTTTTAACTACTTCCCCAAAGAGAGTCCAAGGAATATCTACAATGTAGAAGCTTTGAAATGGCCATTGACTTGTCTAGAAAATAGATTTTAGCAATGAAGTTATATTGGACTCCAAGGTGATGAAGAAAAGGAACAAAACAATTATTGTAATGAAACAATCTGGATGAACATACAAGGGGTAAACCAAGTGTAAAAATTGTTGAAAAGGAATGATTTTTTATTTGTCATCAACCAAGGAAATGGAAAAAATACTATGTAGAACGGCAGTAGTAGTTTTCTGTTTTTACAGAATCATTTGTGTAAATAATTACATAATGATATCTTGAGCTAGAGGATAATAACTAAAAATGAAATTTCTGAGGGACTAACTGCCTAAGTATATGACAATACAGATTACAAAACTCAGTGGCGCCTGGTGCATCTAAATCCAGGACTGATATGAATGAACATTTCAAGCTTTCATCACTTCACTCAAGGACGACCGGTTAGAAGGTCAGTGGACTTTGACCTGCCATCATCAGCAGATGCAGTATCCCCGGGAATATCCACGCTGGCAACGATGTTGGCCATCTGTCCGGTGGACGCTGGATCGGAGTCCCCAGGGTGAGTTGGGGAACTTTCAGCTGAGTCGTCTGGACTGCCGCCTCCCAGTGTTGTCGTTTTCATTCCTCCTGCCTTCGGAACATGAGCCTGATGCTTAGCCTTTCTATGCCATTGCATCAGGGCTTTCGACGTCTGTTCATCGAATATCGACCTCTTCATGGTCGATCCCATCTGGAAGTTGTGAATGACAGAAGAAAAAGGGATACAAATTCTGGGTGAGGCAAAAAGTCCGAGAAAAAAACAGATATGCTAGCAAGCATGTGCTCTGATACCAAATTGAAGCATGTGCTCCATCTCAACTAAAAGCTATTGCACATATGTTTATATATATTATATGCTCAACAGCCATATAGCAGAGTTTTACCTGGGTAACAAGTGCATACAATGGTAGTGTAATGTAGCTGCACATGAATTGTACTCCAAACCTAGCCAATTATCAACCAAAACTTTAGACCATATGGTTACTCTTAGTAATAGAATTCTACATCTCCTAAAACAAACAAATTCTACATGTGTGTTGAAAGTATGAAAAGAAGAGAACAAAGTCTCGTCTTTTCTATGGTTTCTTAAAAATAAAGGGTAAAATTCTTTATGTATGGTTAGATAATCTTTAGCTAGAAAGGCTATAGCATGAATTAATAACAGAACAGAAGTGGAAATTAATTTGAAGTTACCCGAGACAAACTCTTGCAACGGCAAGATAGAAGTTACTGTGGAAGCAAGAATGAATCCCGAACTCATACTGCCATGGGAAACAATATGTTATTTCATTATACCAAATACACTAATGAACTTAAGGAAAACAAAGGAGAACATGTATTACCGATATCCAGAAGAAATAGGTTATCTCAAATGCATTCTGAACAGGTAAAAGAGGGAAAATACATCGTTAGAATGTCCATAAATCTGTAGGTCATACTATATATGTCTGTGTGTCATAAGTACTGTATAAATACGAGGTATTGCTTATTTTGGTGGGTTAGAAAAAAAAAAAAAAAAAGGGGCCACTGAGTACCTGAAAGAGGGTTAGATGGATAAGATGGAGGACCAACTTTGGCTTGCTAAACCAAAAATGTCTGTCTGAGACTTGCACAAGAGGTATGCCCTGGACTACAGCATGCCTTTCTTGAATTTCAATGGCCATTTGTCCTATAATTGCTTGAAGCTTTGTCCCAACTGATAAGATTGTCTTTACAAACACAAAAGTCAGTTCTCTTTTTACTAGAAAAGAAATGCGAATAAATGAAATCGGATATTATATTGTAACTTAGAATTCTTACAACTAAAGGCATCATGGATAGCCAAATCATAGCGTGCCATCCTGAAATGATTTGAAAACACTGAATTAAATTCGGCTAAAAAGTAAGCCTCGCTGAAACTGTGAAGGGGAAGACATGAGGTCTACCATGCACATTCAGCAGCAGATAGAGCACTGCTGCACACCATAGCATCAAACTGAAAGAAGAACCCGAGATAAATAGTCAGGTAATTATGATGCGAGAGACATCAGATCAAGAGCGAGTATTCAGCAAAAGAACTTGAGGAGGTCGAATAAAGATCATACTTAATTCCCACGACGACCTTGAAGTCATCTTCCAATGATCTTTTAATATACTTTTGAAAATCAAACTTACTCCCAGGAGCTAAATGGACCTGAAGGTAAATAATAAAGAAAAAAGGACCATGAACATTATCATGTTCAATCTCCTACTTTGAGAAAAGAATCTAGAGTTTTAAAAGAAAAATTTCTACTTAACCCCACAGTTAAAAAAATCTCACCGAAATGAATCCATGGCGCATGGCCAAGTAGTCAGCCCTACGAACAGACCTAAAAAATTGCCGAAAGAAGCAAACCTGAAAAGTTTGAGAACTAAACTATCAATACAAGCACTAATTATGATATTTGATTCATAGAAACAGCAAGGTTATCATATGTTGAGGCACTCAAAGCATACAATTACTTTATACATCATATTTTCATGACTTTTTTGGCTGTAGTAATTAATAAGAAAACCATTGACTCTTTAAAATTGTATTTCTCTTACAGAGTAGAAAAGAACTGGTGTTTGAGTCATGAAACTGGTGTTTTCTTTCACAAAAGATGTCTCTTTCGTAAGCCTGTATCTTGAAGGATCTGCAAGGGCATTTGAGAAGGAAATCAGTTGGAAATGCAAATAAGCGAATAGCAATCTCACGATTCAAAATGTAGGAGCAAATTTTTGTCCATTTAGTCATCTAAAGGATACCATTGGCTGCTTCATCTTGAGCAGTTGCCATTTCCCATTCCTTCCATCCTCGGATCTTCATGTAACAAATAAAAGATGGTTAGGTCTAGATCATGCCAACTAACAATAATTGTGCAACAAAGTAGGACACAATCCAAGCTTGTAGGCATGCCACTGTTAAATGAGGGAAGAAATCCAGATAATTTATGAATGCTACAGCATAAGAATAAGCAACTAATCTTGAGATGACCCGACAAACTTACTATATTGCAGTTAATGATAAAGTTGGTTGGTAAATTGCAAAGGAATTGGAAAGTATTACCTTCATTCTTCCAAGAGCCATTGTTATAGCACCATAGATGACATGAAATACAGCCAAAAAGAATATGAAGATGTGTAGCTGGTGCAAACCATTGAGAGATATTAGTGGTATAAGTCCCTGCAGATACAAACTTGGTTAGCCTGATATTTCAAGGAATTGGGTTAATTGACAATGGTCCATGATAGAGCACTAAAATTCAAGACTGTTTTTTACAAAAATATAAAATATCTATGGGCAATATTTTATAGTCAAACACCTTATATTGAAACTACTGAAAATTTCATGACTTGACATTATCATGTCAACACGTTACACGTGTACATCCATTTAATGTTCTTCATGCCATTTCCTTACAGTATCTAAATGATAATTTCTTTCAATTTTCCAACAATGTTTAAATCTGGTAAATAGTAAGATGGAACAAATTTCCTTTCTGTAAAAATATGTTGGGAGAAGTATATCGCAAAAATGTCTTCCACCCTCAACACTCTAATACAGCATAATACTAATTTTATAAGTTAGACTTCTGAGGGCAGGTCAAGTGTACTGTATTCACTCATACTTACTTCCTTGCACTCCTCAACTGCATGACCTGATAAAACTCTGCGCATACTCCATAGAAGCCTTCTATGATGTTCTCCCCCTGCTTCAGCAGGTTCTTGATGTTCATCTTCTGGTGGAGCATGTTCCCCATGTTCCCCTGATGGAGCATGTTCCCCATGTCCTGGTGCCTGATGTTCGACGTGTTCGTCATGTATAAGGCATGGCAGCATAGTGTTGCCAGCTGCTTCAGGAATACATATTTTAGCAATGTAGCTTTGCCCAAATGTTAGAAGCAGGGAAATAAATCCCAAAACCATGAGCTCTGCAGGAAACAAAAAAGGAATCAGGACGAGGAGTCAATACATCCAATTTGAAATCTTGGACCACCTAGTCCCAAAACTCTGGGTTTTTTTTGTTTCTCGGGTGAATGTTGCAGCAAAAGAAAAAAAAAAAAAGTTGGAGTTCCTACCTCCCTTAATCTTCTCCAAAGCTTCAACCAAAGCTCTCTTTTTCTTCCTCTCAAATGTCTGAAACAAAATGCAATTAATCAACAAGAAGATCAAAGGAAAGCCTGCACCAATACAATCTAGTGCTTGTCTGCATATAAGATTGGTAGAGACATGAATATCAAATTGTATGAATGAGCAATGATGCAAGAGACATTATTCCAATAATAATCTGTGTTTCAATCCATGAAATAATCTGCCTGAAACAATTTGATTTAGATGAAATCCCAAAAAGAAATCTAAGGCATAAACATTTCGCACATTCGAGCAAAAAATCCAAACATCAAAGAGAGAGAGAGAGAGAGAGATCACATGTCCTATTTTGTGAAGAAGTTTCTCCAACATTAAGGAAATAACTACAATGACCAAACAAACTAATGCGACGGCCCATGTGGGCGTCTGATCGAGCTCTCGTCCCTTTCCTCCTCCTCCTCCCGACATCTTCTTGTTGTGTTAAATAATCCAAAAGATTTGTGCATCAACTCGTTGCTCAATCCGATGAAAGGTGCAGGGTGTGAAGAGAGGTTGTGTTTTTGGTTGGGGCAAAGAATCAAACATGTGGTGGGGCACAGAAATGGAATTTTGAGCAAAGGAAGCTCGCATTGTGCATTGTTTTGGTTTTGTTTGTGGAGATCAGAAGATAGATTGAAATGTAGGGAAGGAGATGAATGCGAGCTTTGGCGGTAAGGGATTCAGTTAGTCCCACAAATTCCATTTTCAACTTCTAACCACCACTGCTCCTAAGGATTCAGTTATTTAACTAACGCCTAACGATTAAACACTACCACTACTACAATTAATTAATTAATTAATTAACTAATAAATAATATATAATGCTCCCTATATTAACAATTACAAGTTGCTCCAAATTAGAACCTACCGAGTATAATTTAATTAGTATTAATTAATGCTCTAAACTTATGAATTTAATTTTTACTTTTACTTGAATTAATTGATATCGCATTAATATTAATTTCAAATATTAATCGAATTATAACACACACATGTATATAGTGTTAAACTTCCATGAGAACTAGTAGTCCCGTTAAAATATAGGGACTAATTTCATCTATTCATTTAGAATGATCAAGAGCTGAAAATTAAGATAGAAAAAAATGTGATGACATTTAAATAAGAGTTTTATTACATAAATTCTTAATCTCTACTCACTCACTTTTACTCCCTAATGTGAGAAAAATGATAAGTTATCTTAATTTTGTAGGTCAAAGGAAAATATCAACATTAAAATTTTGAGTGAAAGAGTAAAATATGGAGTAGAACTTGGGAGTCGAACTAGTATTTTTCTTTAAATAATTACGGTTGTGCATAAAAATATTGATAATGCATATGTAAATGCACTATTATAGATTATGAGTATATTATTTTGGTTAAACTGCAAGGTGTCGTGAGTAGTCCCTAACTATGGGAGGCACCTTTAAGCTCGTAGTTATCTATGAATGAACTATCATAATTTCATAAATGTCACTGCATATTTCATTAATTTCCAATCATTGATCATCTTAAGTAGATCGATGAGATTAGTCGGCACGTTCTCACGGGGCTATTAATTCACATATGATTCTAATTATGTGTGTATGTGTGTGTCAAATATGCCTTGAACTTTAAAAAATTGCAGTTAAACACTTGAACTTAATAAAATCATGCAGTCAAGTTATGTTTACTAGTAATCAACAAGTTACCTATAAAAAGACAATAGCATAGCATATTTATTATTTTTTACGGTTTTGCCCACCAAGGCCGGTGGTTGCCTACTTGAGGAAGAAGGCAAACCAGTTGGTTGCCTTCTTCTTCTTCAATAAGAAAATGACCGACGGTTGCCTTCTTACTCGATCTGAAGAGAGTACCTAACTAGTAGTCTTCTTCTTCTTTCTCGATCTAAAAATGTCATCGGTCAGTTGTCTTGTTCTCTTGTTTGAAGAAGTAATCGATTAACGTGTTGCCAATATATGTGTGGTGTGTGTGTGTATGTGTGTGTTTTTAAATATTTGCGGCTTGACAGATACGCATTATCGATTTTTACCTGGGGATAATTGGTTATTGATCCAAAGGCACATAAATGAAAAATTGATATGTTTAATTGTAACTTTTTAAAGTTTAAGGGTCTTAATTTTTTAAAAATAAAGTTTACGACTCTAGGTACAACTATGCAAACGAAAAACTTCATTGTATAAAAGTGCATTTTACGATGTGTAAAAGTGCACTGTGCACTCAAGAAATGTGTGAACCCTCAAATTACACAATGCAAGATCTTAAAATATTAAAATGTTCTTTGTTGTTTTGCGCAATGCACATTCACACTTGGCATGTGCATTTTCACTTCTTTTTTTTTTTGAAAGCAAGAAATGACAATTTATTAATCAAGCACATATACTAGAAAGACGAGAAGAACGCCAATCCACAATGTACACAAGCCCCAGCTCCATCGGCTTTAGCAAGATAGTGAGCTAGGCCGTTGAACCATTGATTCATCGTGATTTAAATCTTCTCAAATATTCTATTAAATCGGAATGTGAGGGTCCCTTAGAGTTGGGGATTCAACTTTTTCGGAGAAGATAGTAAGCTGGGCGGTTATCATCTCTACGGACATACTTGACTACACAACCACTAATGGAATCAATAAGACGCTTACAAGCCCTTAGGGTTGGAGTTCAGCCTTTGGAAGAATAAGACGTTTACAAGCATTAATTTCTTTTTACTGTTGTTTTTAATACAACGTTAAATATAATTTTAAATTGATAAATACTCTGTAATAGATAAAAGTTAGAATTGTAAAATTAGATAATTATTAACAGAATCGAGCATTTAAAATGAGACGGAGAGACCATTTACTACTGTTGAAGGTAGACTAGCAGAGGGAAACAATTTTTTTTTTTTTTTTTTTGAGAAACCAAAGCTGCAAAATCAATGTCTGATTCTAGTGTCATTGCAACCGGGAAGAAAACGGATCTTGCCGGGAATCACTAGGAACAAATACAGGGAGCTGACCTCCTCTTTGTGATCTTCCTTGCTGAAAGTAATTCGGCACTGCATTTCTCTGCGAACCGGCAGACGATGCTGCTGCAGTGCCGCCACTGCCGCCTCTCATCCGCTCGTTTGACAAGGGACCCCCGAAGAATATCGACTGGCCTGTGTACGTTAGCTCTGTCCCGGCACCAGAATGTTGGGAGGAAGACGCCACGCTTTTGGTTGCAGTGGATACGAACCGCCCCGCCTCCTGATCCCAGACGACCGTTGTCCTAGGGTTCTCGGGAACGAGAACCCCCAACCCGTTCTTCCTAGCTGGTAAATGGGGTAAAGCGTTGGTGTCACTTACTTTCGTGGACGGTGGCGAGTGGTCGGCTGATGATTGATACATCGGGTTGAAATGATCTCGGCTAGAAGAACGGTGGCCTAGTGGCGATGTGGTCAAGTTCGTTGGGACAGGGCTGCTCATGTTGCTGATGCTGTGGCCGCAAGTTTCGGTGTCTTCTCTGCTTGCTTGGCTGGGAGGGTATGAGCTCCGGGAAGGGGATAATCTCGAGGTCTCGGCTTTAGCGTTTCTCTCAAAGTATCCGTGGTTACTGCTTGCCGGGCTGCTTTTACCACTCATGACGCTGGATAAGGTATCAGCATCGTAGGGATGATTCCTAGAACTAACCGGGCGTAAAACAGAAGACGAAGCTCGGGCCTTCACACCCGCTTTGATTGCTTCTTTCGAGTCTAATTTCGCAAGCTTCCATGCGCTGATTCTCACTTGGCGCTGCGGTAGCTGTCGTTCCTTGTCTGCTTCCAGGGTATCTGGATCAACCGTCGAGGGTAAACGCCCTGGCTCTAGATGAGGGATAATTTCGTCCTGCCAATGCAATTTCAAGACCCTCAGTACTCAGTAGTAACAATGAAGATTACAACCCGTAATGGGGCGTTCGGTAGGATGGAATTGCAATCCATTCCTACCAAATTCCATGGAATTTACAATTCCAATTCCGGCGGAATTGGAATTCCACGGCATATGACAACTTTGCCCTTCTTATTATAATTATAATTATTATTATCAAGGGCATTTTAGTCTTTATTCATTTTTTTCCTTTCAATCCCCCGCAATTCTATTCCTGCCTACCAAACAATGGAATTTGAATTCCTACTTTACTTCCACCTCATTCTTTTCCCACCAAATTACAATCTTTTTCCCTCCTAATTCTATCCTTCCAACCAAACGCCCCGTAAAAGGCCGATTATGCCTATCCTCAAATTAAAACAAGCAAGTAGTACCTGGTGATCCATGAAGATTCTTGGAGGAGTACACCAAGAACCCTTATATTGCAAGCCAATTCCCAAAGAACTCTTTCCACTGATGGCCGTCACAGCAGAGCTCGTCGGTGATGAAGGCGGCAAACTTTGCAGGTCTCCCGCATCTACGGAGGGTCCAGGAGCCTCGCTTTGGGCCCTCATAGCAACCACATAGTCGTATGTCGTGATACCCTGCAACAAAGAAAAAAAAATGTATGGTAATTTTTTTTTTGGTCAGACCACGAGGTGTCCTGAGCAGGCCCAAATTGTAGGAGGCACCTTTAAGCCCGTACCAAACTCAGACCAGCTCCCGTTCGCACCAGGCCGGCCCAATTAAGGGGCAAAGTGCTGGCCAGATTGATTTTTCCATACGAGAGGGGGTTCGAACTCCCGACCTCTTTTAAGGGACAAGAGTGCACGGTCACTCACGCCAACCAAGCTAACCAAGCTGGGTAAAATGTATGGTAATTCTCTCTTTGACATGCACAAGTACGCACCACTCCCGAATGTACATAACTAGACATGTATCATACCAACTTACCTTGCGTATTAGAATAATGTGGAAAAAGAATAATTCCCCTAATGGCACTGTGGCAAGAAACGAAACTGCTGTACATAGAGCCTGAAACGCAATCCAAAAAACGAGAGCTCATACAGACGTGAAGATTAAGATTTAAGAAGAGTAGGAGATTAAACATCTTAATAGAACGCATACCACTACAGTAGCAAATGGTGGTCGGGAGAATCCATCTCCAAGCCTATCCCTAATCTGAAACTCTGTAGCGTTTTTATATGCAAAGCATCTAACTATAACAGCAATGCCGACGGCACATTCAAAGGTAAGCTGAAAGCAAAAAGGGAAAATATTGGTTAGAAGATGCGGGAGGAAGAAGATAAGAAGAATTGGAATTTTTGCTCAAAGATTTTTAAAAGAGAATAAAAGGCAATTACCACTATGTAAAAATCTTACCCAAATAAGGCTTGCTCCCATAAGGCATACAAATGTGAAGTAATTTTTCCTTCCCACGCAATTATTCAACCACTGCATAAATTGCAACATCTTGAATGACATTAAATTTGCCAATAACCAAATGGAAACTCACCAATGCAAAAAAAAAAAAAAAAAAATTAAAATTAAAATTAAAAAAAAAATTAAAAAAAAAAATGTGTTCTAAAAAAGACCATATCGAGAAAAGACTCAATTGTCATAGTATTCTTACTACAAAAATGGAGAAGTATTTGTTGGTTTTTTCTTCTTTTTTATTTTTCGGTAATTGGAGAAGGAGATTAACAAAGCTGATCTGTTTTAAATTAAAAACTTGAAAGCTTCTGTTTTAAATTAAAAACTTGAACTTACACGGCAGTGATGATCAAATCCGTCAACACATTTGTCACAACTTCTGCAGTGCTTGCTGAACTTGCGAACCTATAAATGGCAACTTTCCTGAGTAAGGTTCTTAATTATATTCTTTTCTTTTAGTACTATTGGCTCTGTTACAATGAAATATCTGTTCATAACTACTTTCTCAATCTACTGAAGCACAAAGAGTCAATACCGCCCCCACTGAAGCCACTTCGTGCCACTAGACCACAAGGTCATTGGCGTTCTTAATTATATTCATTACAAATGCACAATAGACTTTTTAAATAAAGACCGTACAAACATAAGCAAAATATACACAAAGGGGCAAAGGACGAAGGAAAGGAAGGCAAAGAACACATTGATAAAAGGGAGTGGGATTTCCAAATAGAATAGTTTCATTTTTAAGGTGGGAGACGGGGAAGGAATCTGCAGTGAATGTCCAGAGGAACTTTCACGATCAAACGTTGTCATGTCAAAAGTATGTTTCGTTGCTGATACCCAACGTTTAAAATCACTACCAAATTGCAAATCAATCAAATTTCGAAACTCATAGATGGTATACCTCTGCGTTGCACAATGTGCAGAACAAAGCCTCTTCCTCCCCGTTTTGCTGCTGCTGCTCATCTTTGCGGCAATCGCCAATCACAAGACAACCACAAAAGAACCCACAGAATCTTCCACAGCAACCCGAAGCTTGCCTATCATACTTTCCACCACTTCTGGGTCCTCCCTTGTTTGACCCTTCTCTAGCAGATGAATCACCTATATAAAAGCAATTGAGCTGTCAACCAAAGATGCAACATAGTGGAGTTACAAAGGGGAAGCTAAAAGGTAGGGGGTTGGCGTGAGTGGCCGTGCACTCTTGTCCCTTAAAAGAGGTCGGGAGTTCGAACCCCCTCTTGTATGGAAAAACCAATCTGGCCAACACTTTGCCCCTTAATTGGGCCAGTCCGGTGAGAATGGGGATTAGTCTGAGTATGGTATGGGCTTAAAGGTGCCTCCTAAAGTTAGAGCCTGCTTAGGACATCTGTAAAGTGCTACGTGAGAGACACATTAGTCTTTCCTGGTGGAGGGCATTAAAAAACACTAACCGGGTAACTCCATCTCATTGTGTGATCTACAGGGTGATGTTTTATCAGCTACAACAAAAATCCCAGGATCAGCAGGATCAATGGCCGTGCATCTCGCATAGAGGATAAATACACTAAGTGCCTGAAATAGTGCTTAAAGATGTCAAAGAAAGAGGAAATAAATGCCAGAATATGAAATAGATATCGAACCAGAATCACTTGAAAATCAGTATGCATCATACTCACCAAGAACGAATAGACACCAGTTGCTATGTACTCGTAGAGGTCCTTTCCAAGGAATGGAGCAAAAAATGCGTAGAAGGCAACAGAGAGCAGGAAGAAAACTGTTATAGCAACAACCTACAAGCAATTATGGTAAGAATTTTGAAAGAATCTAACAGCAATGCTGGTGATTATTAACACTACAATGGCAGCAAGAACCAAATTGTTTAACACAAAGTATGAATTTTAATTGGCAAGTTACTATTTTCAGTACTATGCTGCAACTTTCACCACCCAATCCCCAACAATAAAATAGAAGAAAAAAAAAATTAAAACAAATTAATACCAAGAAACAGTGTCATATACTCCAATGTGAAAGATCATTCTTTTAGATGAAAACTGGAAATTTTCAAAATCAGAAAATGTTCAAAGAGCATTTTGGTCCAAATCAGAAAATGTTAACAATAAATAAAGAAATAAACAGCAACAACATCTACAATAAGGGGAAAAAAGTCAAAGGTTTCACATTTAAGATTTCAAATCAAGCCAATGTCAACAAAATGTCAACCCCCAAAACAAAAGATATCCTCATATCCAAACATTAAACAGCGAGCAGTGCTAAACAAAAGTCGACATTAAGATTTCAAATCAAACCCAGGACAAGAAAATGCAAGAGAACTAACCTGGAACGAGTGAGCCGGGAGTTGCCAGCCATGACGGCGAGCCATGTTGAGGAACCGAGTCAAACCAAGTCAATCAATCCACCATTTACACTAACTATACAAGCTGTGGGAGCTGAATTAGTGGGAACGGCCCTGGAGCAGATCAAGGAGCCCCAGACAAAGATTCTATGCCCGACCCAGTTGTCCAAAACCGGAAATAAGAAGACCCATCTGCTTGATTTCCAGTTCTAGGGTTAATAATGGAGGTGAATGTATGAAGCAATGGGTCGTTGAAGAAGCAAATTAAAGATAAAGAGATGGCTATGGTGTGCTGCAATTTTTCTTTTTCTTTTTTTCTTTTGGTAGATTTTGGTAGTATATATTAAGACGTGACTGGTGAGTAGTATTAGTTGTCTTTTTTTCTGCACATTTTCTACTGTTTGGAACACTAAGAAAAGTGGAGTGTGACAGCAGGCTGTCCCTTGTGTTGGCTTTCTTCCAAGAAAGTGAAAATAAATAATTCTTGCTTCTTCCGGAAACCGGAACGCTTGTTTGCACCATTTTTTTTTAGTTAAATACGAAGAAAAATTTATTTGTACATCAATTAAAATTTATATATATGGACGTACTCTTGTAAAAACCACTTTCATGAGAGAATTAGCCATTAAATAGAATTGTTCATTTTCTCATCAAAACAAAAAAACAAAAAAAAAAAACAAAAACAAAAACAAAAAAACAAAAAAACAAAATTGTTCATTTAGAAAGATTTAACAAATATGAAACAATTAGAGAATATTTGGTGTGACATTTTTGTAAATAACTTAAAATATATATATGTATGGTCCGTTACAGGTGTGAGCTTATGAACATTACACATCGTTAAATGTGAGATTGGACGACCAAGATCTTATGAGTGGTGCATTGGTACATTCAGTGAAGTTGCGCACTTGTAAAGTGGTGCAGTGATGTATAACCAGGTCAAAATCACTATAAACTACAAGATCGAGCAAATATAACAGTATATAATGATGTACAGGTTCACACACACACACACACATATATATGTGTGTGTGTGTATGTGTGTGTGTGTGTGTATATATATATATATAGGGGCGCGCTCATGTGAGAACAGTCGCTCAGGAGAAAAATAAGAATCACTCACAGCCGTCCACGTGCCAAGATCAACGAATCAGATGTAATTTTAAAAAAACGATGCGATGACATTTTCATAAATAACTCAAACTTTGGTGCAAGTAAATATGTTATAAGTGCAAGTAGCTGATAGGGATGGCAACGGGGCGGTCAGGGAATTAAAAATAGTCCCCATCCCCGTTCCCGGAGGGAATTTAGCAGGGACGGGGATTCCCCGTTCCCGATCAAACTCTTAGTCAAAATCTAAAATTAGTGTAATTTTTAATTTTAAAAAATAAAAACTTAAGTCTTATATATATATATATATATATATATATATATATATATATATATATATATATATATATATATATATATATATATATATATTACTTAATGCTACTGTATATATTATTTTAGTTTTAATAATTATTCGGAGACGGGGCGGGGAGGGGTATTCCCGTCCTAGTCGGGGAATTTCAAAAATCCCCATCCCCGTCTCCGATTCTCGAAATTTTTCTCCGTAACAGTTCCTGTCCCCGTCCTCTACGGGGCCTAGGATTCCCGACGGGGGATGAGGCATATTATCATGATATCATCCCTAGTAGCTGGTGCACCTTTGCAAGTAAAATCACTTACAAGTGCAAGTAATTTACCTTGTTAACATTCGTGCACTTAGGTGCAATTAATTATAACGTTAGGTGCAACTAGTTATAATCTTAGGTGTACTTAGTATTGATGCTCAGTGTACATATTACTTGCACTTGTAATACATTTTACTTGCACTTATGTGCACTATATGAAACTGCTACTTGCACTTTAATACATTTTACTTGCACTTTTATGTTCAAGTAATTACGAAAATATCACTGCGTTTTTTTTAAAAAAAAAAAAAAACAGTGTTTCTCATCCGTTATATCTGGACACGTGGATGGATGTCATGCGTTCTGAGTTTTCTCCTAGGCGCACCATTCTCACTTGAATGCGATCATATATATATATATATATATATATATATATATATATATATATATATATATATATATAGAGAGAGAGAGAGAGAGAGAGAGAGTAAATTACACTTTTGATCCTGTGACTATTGTGGTGTTATTAATTTCAATCCACGACTTTAAAAACTAACAATTTAGTACTCTAACTATTCAATTTCTATCAATTTTGGTCCATTTGGTCAAATTGTCAGCAAATTTTAATTGAAAAGACAAATATACCCTCAATTTTTAAAAATAATAAATGAAAAATTCAATTATGTACTTTTCCGGTGGAAGCTAGACGCAGGTTTGAGATTGCCGTTGCTGCTGCCGTTCTTCGTCGCACCATCGCAGCACCACGCCAAGACACTAGCTGCCTCCACCATCGCTGCGTACCTCTGGTCATCACTCTCTCTCTCTCTCTCTCTCTCTCTCTCTCTCTCTCTCGTCGACGGCAACATGGTGAACCAGCAGCAGCGCCGGCGTCTTCCCGGCGAGCTGAGCAGCGGCGGCGGACTAGTGTAATCAGCAGCAGCTCTCCTCCGGCGTGCAACAGTAGCCAAGCTCTTGGTGTTCCACAAGTATAATTCAAGACCAACTAAAATTCAGATAAGTATTTTAGGCACACCCCATTCGTGACCCCTCAAGAATAAATTACACTGAAAACCCAATCCCCAGACAAAAGTAAACAAACAAAATGCGTAATGAACTGGATCCAGGAATGGGGGAAGAGTGATTCTCAAGAAGTTTAAACATTGGGCAAAGAATCAGAGGAAGTGTGAGAACTGAATAGCACCGTAGACGGCGGAAAACATGTGGGGCCGGAAGGTGAATCACGTTAACGGAGGGGAAACTGGAGAAGAACAA